GAGCGGGAGGCGGACACTGGTCTCGAAAAAAAACTCGAAAAAAAATCGTCGACATCTGAGACCGCAAAAAAAGGTCTCCAATTTCTCCATCTGTCCTCATCCTCGACCACACTCAATGCGCACAATGCGGCCTGCCCCCGTTATGACGTAGATAGTGGTCCAGGTTGCCCGACTAACGCAGTAGGCACTCCACGCCATGCAGCCGTTGGTTCGTCAAACACGAGTCGTGGAGCCTCTCAATCTTCCGGCTTGCCGTTTTGAAGTTGACGGCGGTGGAGAGCGTCTGGAGGACGACACGGTTGGCGGTCGCAGCGCCGGCGAGTGAGCGTTTGAAGAAGAGAGAAACGGGGCGCGCTTGAATGGAGAGGGAATGGAGAGAAATGGAGGAGGATGGAGGAGACTGGAGCAGGATGGAGACATGCCTCCAGGGCTCCCCCGTTTGCTCCCCAGCTTGAACGAGGATATTCAAGGATGTTCCAGGGCTGTATCTCTGCACGAGCAGGGGAGCGGCGCACACCACCCTGACACGACCAAGCCCGCTAGGATCGTGAGGCCTGCAAGCTCCCGTTCGGAGGTGGTTCTGAGTGGTTCTTCACAGACGCTGATGTCAGAGAGGATACTCAGTGATGGGCCGCCCACCTGCCGCAGGGGGCGTAGTGCCGCGTCGAGTCGTACGTAAGAGTATCTTTTCGGCGGCTTAACGCGGAAGAGATACTTGTCGGTGACAAACGTCGGTGGCTGCCTTGCTGGCCACTCATGTTGGCCGTTGGCAGGCGGGCAGAAGAGTCGATACCTGGAAGGGAAAACGAGACGAGATGGCAGTCAAAACCGTCGCCGGACGCCGCACACCGTCGAGCAGCGGCTGCGCCAAACCCGGCTCTTTGGTGGAGGAAGAGGCCGGGGGACGGCACCCGATCGCAGCGCACGCGACAGGCACAGGACAAGCACACTGTCACTGTCCCGCCCACCTGGGTCGTCGGGGAGCCTCACCGATGGCGCCATTGCACCCTGAGACCCTGAGACCCTGTGGCAGGCTGAACAGGAGGGGCGGACTTCACGATACGTATCTACGTATCGAATCTGGGGAAAGGCTGAGATGGTGGGAGGCAAGCGGTGATAGCCTTGCATTGGTGTATCGGTCTTGGTGTTGTTCGATGGAATGACGAGGAAACGGTTGAGCAGTTGATATCGTGATGGAAAGCGGGTGTGGCGTCGAGCTGGGAGCCCGGGGTCGAGTGGAGACGGGCCTGTGTTCACCGAGCTGACCGAGAATAGGCTGGCGATGGAGTCGAGGTGTTGTTGGTTTTGGCAACAGTGTTCAACGTGGTCTAGAACGTCACGGTCTGGCACTGTTTGTTTGTGACAACGCAAGGGATGCTGCAGAAACAACGTGCGAGGGTTGGTTTGACAGGTGAAAGTTTAAAGAGCCGGGTAATCGGTAGGGTAAGGTAGCTAGCTGGTAATAAGGCTCAACCCAACCTATCCAACCGCTGCTCGTGCTGCTGAATGCATGTCGACGCCCGCAGCCAGCGTCCAAGGATGCGGCCCTTCCCTTCGCTTCCGCCACGTTAAACGCCTTAGCGTGCTCGGTCGAGATGAGGCTAGCCATGGATTGAGCCGCGTCTGTAGCCTGACGACAGTCGACATGGCCGTCGACATGGCCGTACGACTGCAAGGTGGAAGTGATCTGCGTGTAAATTCTCCGGTACGATGCAGCGCAGTGCAGTGCAGCGTCTCTCGACAGGCAAAGGAAGCAAGGTACAAGGGGCAGAAGAGCATGCACCCCGCTGCGGTTCCTCGAGTTAAGTTGAGGCGCCAAGAATGGGACAGCTGTAGACGAGAGTTCGGGATGCAACGTGGTGATGGAGATGCAGAAGAGAAGAAGCAGGACGAGTGACTCTCTGTGTCTCCTGGAGTGGTGAAAGGGGAAAAAGGCAAGGGCAAGGGCGGTGCAAGGTCATGGTCATGGTCATGGTCATTGGAGAAACCCGTGAGGCAGGAGCTGTGAGGCAGGAGCAGTCAACAGGGTCGCTCTTTCCTCGATCTAAGGTAATCTGAAATGCAGCAGCAGCCAATGAGTTTGGGCAGGCGCCTCGCATGCCGCTGCCTTCCTTCCTTCTCTGGCAAACGACGACTCTTTACTGGCCAAAGGGGGCAGGTTTCGCCATTGCTCCTTCCGCCTTCGCACTTTCGCACCTTCGCACTCTCCGCAAGCCTCATTTTCCGAGGCTGGCTGTCTTCGGTCTTTCAACAATGACGCCCTTGCTGCATCGAATGCGAGGCTACTTAAGCAGCAGTGTCTTCCCGTCTTTCTTCTCTAGATCTCCCCGCACTCTGTCTTTTGCGTGGATATTTCGAGATCGACAAAACCTGGGGAAGGGAAACACCGATGCTGACAGCTCCGCATACGACATGGACTCCAACCACGAGATACATGGAACCGAGAACGAGACACACGCCCGCAGTGTCGAACCAACCGGCCCTGCACGACATCGCTGTCGATTGATCGAGATACGCCTCCTCCAAGACGAAATACACCAGCCGTGCTGCTATTAGAACCAGGATTGATATCTGCAAGGCGTTTCGGACGATGAGCTAGGAACGAACGGCATCTGGACGCAGGGCGGCACGGCGGACAGAATTCGGCATCTCGAGATATCAACAGCTGCAAGGAACAGTCAGGGAAAACGATTACCGAGGGTTGGTTATCAGTAAACGATTGCTATCGACCGTTGATGAAGAACACGGCATCAATACCGACATACCGACCTATCGATGAGACTGACCACGCACTTCCCCGGAAGCATGCTACAAGCCATCAGCTGGTCGTCGGTCGGCAGGCCCAATACTACGCCGGTCACGCGTTGTCTCGCCCGGTCAAGCAAGGGAGTTCGCCAAACCCCAGATACCTTACGTTCGCCTGTTTATCTGATATCCTGACAGCACACGGAGACCAACGCCGTGCCACCGACGTGACATGTCGCTAAATGTCAATTATCATCTATCAGAAGACATGCTGTCGCCACGACAAAGATAGGAGCATCCCCGGCGTCAATGGGATTCGGAAACGAGCTAGGCGACCGCGGAGCAGAAACCTGATGGTCCGGTTCGGTTTGCTGGGGATGGCACCGCGCTTGTCAACTCGGTGAGCCGGAAATGGGCCTCGCGTGGGGGTGCAGAACCCGAACCCCAGACTCGGGCTTATCTCCAAGGCTAGGGGGTATTTCCCCTTTCCGACACTTGCAGCCCGGTCGCGGTTCGAAGCAGCAGATATCTATCGTCCATGATAAGATAATCTCGCGTTCGTGAGGGGAGTGAGTCGTCAGACAGCCCCGGGTCAGCCAAAAGACGTACCGCAGCATTGGCTGCCGCCGAGGAGGAGTGGAGAGAGGTCGGCCGTCACAATCTCGTGCCTCTAGGCGGACGTCTACTCAAGCCGCAACAGCGCAATCACTGTTTGTTGTCGCTCACCTCACGGCACTCAACTGACTTTTGGCTTTCGGACAGGACACCGCTTTACCGATCACGTGTGGGTTCGGCCATGCACATCGCCGCTGGTCCTGTCGAGGATGTCGGAAGTTGGAACAGTGGCCTCGCCCTCAGCCAGGAGACCCAACGCCGATCGAGTCGGATCGGCAGTCAAGGTCAAGCCAGAAGAGCTGGCCAGCAACGGTCGGGTTCCCTTCCTTGGACGTGCAATTTGGCTCGGACAATAGGGCGCCGTACGCGCACCTTTTTTCCAATGCTGCAGCAGGCCAACACCCGGATTACGAAACAGAAAGACGACATGGACGCAATGCATTTGCGGAGCAGAGCAAGTCCGCTTCTTTACCGCCGCCGCTGACAATCCAAGGCCAAGGATGCGCGGGTTCGGTCAACGTCCAACAACACATGATCCATCATCCAAGCAAGTCACTGTCAAGTCTCTTTTCCTCCTCGTCGCCGCCAGCTGGCAGATGGTCTCCTGCTCTGGTTTTCAGCGGGTTTCCAGGCCCAAGCCGCCTGTCCCAGGACCCGGAATGCGCGAAATACCGCACATTTCTGCACCTCGGCCCAGCACCTTGCACCTGCTAATGCGCTATTATGCAGCGGCTGGACTGCTCGCGGCCCCCTGTAAAAGGGAGGGCCCATCGCCCCAAAGGCTAAGGCTGCAGCGCTGCAGTTTTTTAAATGACGGCGCGTTCCAACAATTTCAGCGAGTGTAGCATCTGGGTGGGGCGTCTCTCGGGCTAACAGTTGGCAGGCAACCAATCAGGAGACGATGGCAGCAGCGATTGACCACTGTAAAATGAGGCCGTAGCGGTTGCCTTCAGCGAGGTGGGTGACCTGAGGTGGTGAGTGGACCCCTACGGCGACGGGAATGAGGGGCCTTTCAAGGACCTTCAGGTGAGGTCCGGACCCACACCCGGGAATGAGTCGGGACACGCAGCCGTCTGTGCACCCAAACGGACGGTCCTGGTTGGTCAGCGGGGTTTTGTCGGCCCCGGCCCCACCAGTGCAAACTTCTCACAGGTCCTTCGTATCCGAGAGGCTCCGCTTTGAACCGTTGGAAGGGCCTCCACGATGGTCCACTCTCTCGGTCCCTTCACTGCGAACAGTCCCGATCCATGGGAAAAGAGCGCATCGGCGAGCATCACCCGACTGGGCGGCATCCTAATTGGCAAAAATGAGACACGAAATTGTGACAAGACACAATGCGCAAGAGGCAAAAAATGAAAGGGACGAGACTCGAACTCGCGCGGGTTGCCCCACCAGGAAAGAGATGTTAAGCTGACCTTAACCTGGCGCCATAACCAACTCGGCCACCCTTCCAGCTGATATCAGTCGGATTAGCAAAAGCCAGCTATGCAGCTCACGCACTAACGAGGGGCAGTTGCTATGAGATCACCGGTATCGTCATTATCATTATCGTGGCTTCTTATCTTCTTCACCCTACTTGCATAGGGCACGACTCACGATAAACACCACATCGTCCGCCGTTAGGGCTGTCTATGCTCTAATTATTCGTCCGCCGCCGCCGTCAGCTGCCACAACGTCGTCCGCCCGTTCGCAATCTGCGTCGCCATCACCCGATCGCCAACCGCAATCGCCGCGGCCACGACAAGCGGCGTCTTGCCCGTCTTTGCGATTCCCTGCGTCGACTGGTCAAGACAAACCCCGTTGCCGACATCGCGCATTCTCAACCGCCCGCCGTCCGCCTGTACCGTCGCGACGAACCGCCCGTTGCGCGGCACACACGCGAACGCGCACCCGTTCATCTCCAGCTCCGCGCGGCTCCCGTTCTCCGGCCACCACGTCGTCAACCGCCACGTCCAAGGACTCGTCCCGTCCGTTTGCCGGCACGCCGCCATCACCCTCCTCCCGTCCGCCACGAGCTGCATCGCCTCGCGCCCGACCGACTCCCACGATGCCGCCTTCGCCCGCGACTCCTTGACGTCCGCCCACGTTGCAACATCCCACGTCGTCATCCTCCCCGCGCGATCGAGCGTCGCGATCCGGCTTGAGTCCGGCGTGAACGCAAACTTGCACACCGGTAGCCCGCCCGTCTTCTTCTTGCCCTCGCGCAGCGTCACCACGTGCGTGTTGATCAGCGTCTCCCACACGTCGATGCACCCGCCCGCGATCCACGTAAGCAGCCGCCCGTCCGGCGAGAACTGCACCTCGTGCGCGTCCGCCCCGGCCTCGAGCACCGCCTCCGCCGTCTGGCTCGCCCAGTCCAGGCTCCACACCTCATGGCGCGCGCCCGTCCGGAACGACAGCGCAATCACACGGTTGCTCGTCGGCGAGAACGCGATCCCCGTGATGCGGTCCATTCGCACCACGTCGAACTCCACCACCGTTGGCGGCACGTTGCGCTCGAGGCTCCATATCAACACGTCCCGGTCGCCGTGGACCGTCGCGAGGAGCGTGTCGCAGATGCTCAGAAGCCGGATCTGCGTCGTGAGGCCTTGGCCCGTGGGCACCGTCCGCGAGAACTTGTACTGCACACATATTGGTTCGGAGCTGACGCCGTTCCCTCGTTGCGTGAGGTCGCCGTCCCGCGGCATGGTTCCCCGCTTGCGTGATGTTCGTAGACATGAGAAGATATCTCTGCCATGCCCCGCCTTCGTGATATGTATGAGCTTGGGAGGTTATGATGGAAATAGCCCCATACTGCAAGCCCCTCCAAGCTCAAATTGGCTCTCGATGCGCAATTAACCCCAGATGCAACGAGCTGCAAGGCGTCCAAAGAAAACGCCAGCTGTCACCACAAAGACAGAGTTTCATGCGTGCGTTTCGCCAGCACCCCCGTTTGACTTCTTGCCGTAAATAGCCTACATGGGCAAAATAGAAACCAGCGTGGCGAACCGTTGTTTGGTGGATTCGAAGCTGCAGGCTGCAGCGCTCTCGGATGCGCACGCGCCCGTCGTTTGCCCGCCTCGGTTCCTGGAGAACATCGGCTGAACTGTTGAATTTTGTTTTGTGTCAAATTTGGTTTCCGGGTGTTTGCTACCTGTTCAAGAAGAAACGGTCGAGAATGCAGGTATGTCGGGCTGCTACGTCTCCCCGGATCCGGAGCTGGAGTTGTCCACGCGGGCGAGATGGATGCTCTATTTTGATGTGCATGCTGCATACTGCGTGACGATATCGCGGGGTAAGTATGCAGAAACATGGGTTTGTGAAATGCCCAATTCGTTCGTCGGTGGTATGCAGTCCTGCTTTGACTTTGCCATCACCGATGAACGAAGCGCCGATTCGCTTCCGGGCGTCGTGGTATTTTTGGCAACATGTCCTAAAGAGGTTCATCTCAGATGCTATACCATACCATTTTGACGACAGCACAGCGTGTAGGACACGCTGCGGGCGTCTTGCTATTTACGTCTGATATGTAGCCCCACGAGTTGGTTTCCCTCACCGGTATCAAGCTTTTCTGACAGCCTTTACGGCCGCAGTGACAGGGACGGAAATTCTGCCCCGTCTGTGAGGTGTTGTTGCTGTCGTTCTTTGGAGGTGTTTGATGTCCTCTGACGTCTGTCTGTTCATGACGAGTGTATTCTGCGAGAAGGGGTTGATGGCATGTGATGCTCTCAGGTACAATGCGATGTGTCGGTGGTCTGAGTTGCTTATTAGCCACGCTCAAATCCCGCGATATCAACTCAAACCCCGTGGTATCGTTCTTTTGCCCAGGATGAGCAAGGACAATGTCGTCCAAATGAAGCAAAACAGACCCGAAAGCATCTACGAAGACGGCAAGTGTTTCCGTACGTCGTTCGATTTGCAATACCCCATTGGTCGGCCGTACGCCGGCGTGAATCCACAACTGAAGCATCTAAACGGAGACATCCGCTTCGGCGCACGTAGGTTGAGGAGGGTGATTTGTAGTTGGAAAATATATTCCGCCTCGAGTCATACCGTTCGAGTGGAACTTTCCCATATGCGTACATACGTACCCGGACATCAAAACTCCGTGGAAAGAGTTGGTTGCTGATAGAGTGGAACCGCCCTCAACACCGGATCACCATTATCCAGATATCGAGACTCCATAGACTCAAAATTCATCGACTTAAATGCGTCGATATCAACGCTAATCTCGTCATGTCCTCCCACTCCAAGCCCATCAACACTCAACCGGCACCATGCCCTACACCTCCATCACAATCATCGTGGCCCCCTACCACACCGGCCTATACGACCACCGCGTCGGCTCTGGGCCCCTACGCATTCTCTCCCACAACCTCGCCTCCAATCTCGAGGCCCTCGCCCCTGTATCCTTCACCAACATTGGCCCCGTGGACGCCTTCGAGGGCGAGATCGGGCGCACCTTCGAAGTCCTTCGGCGCATCGCCACCGCCGTCGCCGCAGCTGCCTCGCGCCGCTCGTTCCCGCTCGTGCTTTCGGGGAACTGCAACGCTAGCGCCGCCGTGGCTGCCGGGCTGCACGCCTCCGTGCCAGATCTGAATGTGCTGTGGATCGACGCGCATGATGATCTGGATACGCCCGATACGAATGTCAACGGGTACTTTGACGCGATGGCCGCGTCGATGATGTGCGGACGTAGCTGGGCTGCGCTGATGGCATCCGTACCGGGGCATGTTCCCGTGAGTTTGGAGAGGGTTGCGTATTGCGGGTTGCGGGACGTGAGTGAATCCCAAAGGAAAGCTGTGGCGGAGGCGGGGGTTGATGTCATCTGGGGCGATGCCGCGAAGAAGATCGCCTTTGGGAGGGAGCTGAACGGGATGTTGGGCCGGAAGGGGTTCAAGAGGACGCATGTGCATCTTGATTTGGATGTGTTGGACGAGTCTTTGGGACGGGTGAATGAGTGGCCGTCGCCTGGGGGGCTGGATGAGAGGGACTTGGTGGAGTGTATGGAAGTCATTCCGAAGCGGACGGAGCCGACGAGTTTGGTCGTGTGTTCGTTTGATGCGAGGTTGGAGGGGGGAGATACGGTTGCGAGGCTTGCGGTCGATGGGATTGTAAGGTTTGTGGAGGGGTTGAAGGAGCGTGGGAGCCTGAAGGTTGGAGAAGCATGATGGCGATCATGGAGAGATTTATGTTGGCCTCACTAGCAGACATTCCGAACCGTTCTTGCTCCTCAAGACGTAAAATATGGACACGGAAAAACGAGCTTTATGTACACCTCGAAAACAGATTTCAAGCCGCCGTAAACGACTCAACTTTGATCGAACCTCCCAGCGCCTTCGTCGCAAAGTTGAAGATGCCAAACCTGTACGCAATGAAAAACGCCCAGCCGCTGCACAACTCATACGTCTCCCCCAGCTTCGTGAAGTTCACCCCATCAAAACTGTAAAAGAAGTTCGCGTCCCTTGTCCCCGTCGGCCGCGCGTCCAGCTCCGCGCGGAACCAGACCTTCCTCGCCCCGCTCGGGACCGGCGCAGACGCCACCTCCGTGCCGTTCGAGACCGGGTCGCCGGACCACTCGTCGATGATCAGGCCTTGCACCGCTTTCAAGGTGTACGTGTCGCCGACGCGGTGGATACCGATGTACGCGCTCTGGTCGCGGAACGCAGCCAGCCCGAAGCGGTCGCCGTCGGCCATGTTGCTGAAGTCGATCGCGACGGTGCCCTTGGGGAACTCGCCGTGGATGCGGTGCGTGAGTGTGTTTCTTGCAGAGTACAGATCTTCCGTGACACTGGCCGTCTTCAGCGTCACCCCGTTGTTGACCTCATACGACGCAACGTCCGGGTTATGATTCCACTCCCACGTCGGCCCCAGCTCGTTCTCAAATGTATACGTCCTAGTCCAATTATACAGCACCTTCTCCGGCAGCGGCATCGGATACTCCGCGCCCCAGCCGCCGTTCGCGCCCTTCACCCAGCTCGGGGAACCCGTCCGCGCCCCAGGTAATCGGCGCCAGCACCGGCATGCGGCCGGCGGGGTACGCCCACGTGAAGGACATGTAGTACCACTGCCCGTCCTTGGTCTTGACGAGACTGCCCTGGTGCGGGGAGTTGCCGCCCGCCAGCGGCGGCGCGACGTTCTGCACGAGAATCTTGGACTCGTAGGGTCCCCACGGGCTGCTTGACTTCCAGATGTAGGTCGTGGAGCCGGGCTGGTCGTTAAGGATGTAGTATGTCCCGTTGATTTTGTACATCCTGTTCCCCTCGACGGTCTCGGTGTTGACGTCTGAGGCTTGCAGGACTTGTTGGGTTTTGACGACGCTTAGGGCGTCTGCGCTGAGTTGGGAGACTTTGACTTGTCCGTTGCCGTAGACGACGTACATCGTGTCATCGTCGTCGATGAGAAGGCCGTTGTCGTACATGCATAATCCATCCCATCCGTACACCCCGCGACTACTCCACGGGCCCTTGACGTCCGACGCGGTAAAGACCCAAGTCACCCAGAAGTTGGTGCACCCGATCCAGTACCACAACCCATTGCTCTCGCGGTAGCGCAGGGTAGAAGCCCAGGTGCCGCCGCGGTAGGCGCGGGGACCGCCGGGGGGCAGGTCGTAGCCGTCGCCGAAGGTCAGACGTGGGATGGAGTGGCCGACGGGTTCCCAGTTGACGAGGTCGAGGGAGCGCAGGATGGGGGCGCCGGGGGAGTAGTGGAAGTTTGAGGCGGAGAAATAGAAGGCGCCGTCTGGGCCGACGCAGATGTCGTTGTCGGGGTAGTCTTCGTAGAGGACTGGGTTTTGGAAGGTGTCGGCGCGGCGGAGGGGGAGGTGGGCGGCTGTTGCGAGGAGGCTGGAGGCCAGAAGGAGGAGGGCGGTTAGATGCATCGTGGCGGATGGTGGAGGTTGAGAAGACTCGTCGCCATGATGGATTCTGGGAAAATTGTCGAGGCGATTGAGAGTGTGATATAGGTCATCTCTTTTCAGGTCACGATGGATTATGTCATTGGGGGTGGAGTAATGTCATCCGGTTGCATAGAGTTCTTCGGTGGATGTTCGTCCGTCTTCTCAAATTGTTTAGCACGACGTTGCGTTTTCGCGGGGAAGACGCGCCAAGTCGATAGCGGCTCCCGCACTTTACCCATTCGCATTCGGAAGACTGCCGGATTGATGCGAAATAAGGCTGAGGCGTCGATCCGAGGGTCCAAAAGAGACAGGAATTCCGATCTATTCTGCCTCTGGGTAAGTTGCCACTCGTGACGGGTGGTGTTTGGTGGCTGTTTCCTTACAAAGTAAACAATTCGCGACAGGAAGGCCAAAGAAGGTGCCCAGGAACAAAAATGTCTTTATTGTGTAAGCTGTTGTTCCGTTTGGAACGAGGTCTGCTTGTGAAACATTTGCAATGTTTACAATATCAGTAACACATTTCTCTCTCTTTGAAGACAATACCTATTTTAAGTAGGTATTCATAGTAAGATCAAATAAGCGAACAGCAGAAGCATGAGCCAAAGCTTACCTAAAGAGATTGATTTTTCATTGACCATATGCAGACCGTCAGCAGTCAGGGTTCAACGACCCAAATCCATTGGCTGTGATCCTGCAGGAAATAACTGATTGGTAGGCAGACCAGCTCATCAGCATACCGCCGACTAGATGCTGCGGTTTACGTCACAATCGACCCACGTGAATACACGCAAAAGGGTTGAGGCCCTTCGCGCCAGCCTGATTTTGTATGTGAACTTTTCCTTTCAACTTTCCTTTTCACCGTTTTCCGACGCCGACACCAGGTATTGATCGAGTTTTAGCTGACGACGAAACCGATCTTGCCATGGCTGACCCACTGGGAATCGCCGGTACCGCTGCCGGATTGGTGTCCCTAGGCCTGCAACTTAACGGCGAGATCTCCAAGTACATTAAGGCCGTCAAAGGCAGAGAGGAAGACTTGAGAGCGGCAAGGCAGAACGCAGAAATACTGAGAAAGAGTCTGAATGCCATCAAGGGGGCGACAGCATCGACGAATCTCACACCGACGGTATCGAAGAACGCAGTCAACGAATGCGTCGCCTCTTGCATAGACGAGCTGAAACAATTGGAGGAACTTTTGACACGTCTGCGAGGCTCGACAGCCCCTGTAGATACACTCTCTTCCAAATTCAAAGCAAAAGGGAGACAATTAATGTATCCTTTTCATAAGGATAGCGTTGTCGACCTCGAGAAACGACTTGGTTCTACGAATGATGTCCTGCAGACGGCGTTGCACGCCCTGGGAATGTATGTAGCCAACAGCACCGCTAGAATCCACTCAGCCTAGTCTTTGAAGTGACGCTGAAACGCATTACTTGGCCCAGAAACGTTTCCCTCATGATACAGAGCGCTTTTGTCGACTTACAATCCGATGCTACGGCGATCAGACTGTCAACAGAAAACAACGACAAGCAATTATTGCAGGTATTGAATGTTGTCGAAGACATACGTAAATCTAGCCACCTGATACCGAAAATACACGCACAAGCGGTGGCGACAAATTTATCGATGCTTCAACAAACGGCAGCTTTGGCGCAATCAACTCAGATATCAATGAGAGTTGAGGAAAACACCCAAATGATGCGACAGCAAGTAGACAGCCGAATGGGAAGATTCGAGGAGCTTCTGACGCAACTGGTTGCGGCGAACTCTGCAGGAACACAGAGTACTCAAAAGCAGTTTGGGCAGCTCCTTGCCCGACCTTCAGATCTTCAAACGCTGTGCGATAGGTTTTTGAGCGCAGGACCAAATCAAACACCATGCGGCCGGGTGCCCCCTTTCTCAGCTGACGCCGCCAGAGAAGCAAGCGATGAAATGGCTCAGCGTCTCCGTACCTGGCGTCCAAGGCCTTTTGAAGAAAGCCCTCCGTCTTTCATTCAGTCTCAGCACCGGGCTGGTGGATCAACTTTCAGCCAGAGTCTATCCTGGGTTGCTACCGTCGACTCAAATACATCTCCGGCTTTTAGGATTGCCCAAATTGCAATCGAAGCAATAAGAGAAATTGACTCAAGATATTTAAAACCTGTTCTGGAATCTTGTTGGAGGCGAACATTTTGGTGCTATGTGCAGAAAACTGCCTCCCCGACCGACGTTGATGAGGATGGTGTCAACATACTGGGTCAAATTGTAGACCAATACGAGGCATGTCACTGACGAAATCCCCATTGGATCACAGAATCAATATTCCTGACAAGGGCTCAATCAGGTTTGGAAAGACATAGACATTGCGGCCTTCGTACGGTCATTGATTGCTCTGAGACTTTCAGTCAACGGCCCAGTCTCAGGTGCTGGAGATGAGTGAGTTTCATTACAACCGTCTGCCTATAAGCGCAGAGCCACTTGGAACAATTTATTGCTGTTGTATTTGGACACGATTAACATCCTCTAGACCCATTTACGCATGTATTGCCGCGTCTGCGTGGCTGGAGCAGGATGCGGCACAGATTCTGACGGATGCTATGAGAGGGTCTTACGACCCTGAAGAAGGGTTCACCAGTGGTTACCGTGATCGGCAAAAAGTATTTGAGAGCTTCCAACGTCTTCAAACCCTTCCAGACTTTGCAAAGAGTACGTCTCATTGATGGAACTTCCCTTTTCATGCTAATAAATATGCAGTACTTCAGTTTGCTCCATTAACGCTCGGTATTCTACGACAAAATTTGGAGACTGTCAGCCATCTACTGAACAACAACCCCTTATCGATATTCGAGACGAATTATTGCGGACAAACACCAGTTCATATTGCTGTCTTAGCAGGCAATGCATCAGTTCTGAAGCTTGTTCTACCCTTTAGCAACGAAAAGCTACTTAACACGAGGGACGCTTATAATTGTTATCCGATAGATTACATGACGATCCGACAATTGCACAAAGCTTGTCACACGCAACGTGTGTCAAACTGCGAGGGTTGCATGATGTTGGAAGCTCTGCTCAACGCCGGCAGCGGTCTCCTCCCACACACCCTCCAACTAGGGTTGGGAGGGGACAATGAGGCCATACAAAATCTATCGTTCGCCGTGCGAGAAATTCTGATTCGACATCTCAAAGAACGGCGGACGAGACTACAAGATCTGGCCAAAAAACAGCTTTCAAAGGAACAAAGACGAGACTTGGCTTGTCCCGCGAACTGTGTTCTAGACCGAAACTCTAGACGAGTCCAGGAGCTCTTGGAGGACCAATCTAGCCATATTCCATCGTACCTGAAGGTATACAAAGAGGATGAGGACAAAGAGTTTTGGGGGCCTCCCGCGACAATTTACGGCTACATTTGCGACCGAACCACCGCTAAACTTGCCTGGAGACTCGGCTTCCGGGATATCGAGACTGGCTGCGTGGACGGACTCTACCAAGCTTTGCGAGTGGTCCTCTTCTCCGGCAAGCTTCACGAGCAGACTGTCCAAACTTTCAGTGGTTACATTTCTTGGCTAGTAGATCACGGACTAGACCTGCAACTACCAATTCCTGCGACTCTGCTACCTGAACATTTGCAACAACGCTCGGATCTGAGGACCACGGGAGCTCATTATTTTATGATGCTCCTTGGAATAAACGCCAAATTCAGTGGTCACAAAGTGTTCACTCTGCCCAAAAAGCTCTCGGAAACTGTCCTCTCGCAATCCGCCGTCGACGCTTGCTCATGTTTGTGCTCACCGTTAGGATGTAATCCTTTCATCGAATATTTTGATTCGCTCGTAGGCAGACTTCGGCTGTCTCGTTTGCCTACGCTGTGTAGAACAGCGCTTAGGCTAGTTCCACCGAGTGAACGGCAAAGTCCTTCGTATGCTTGGATATACAAAGCGATCCTCAGGCGCGTTACTTTCAATGCCTTATCCCTGCGACATAGCTGCTGTAGCCTTGATTTCTCTTACGAACGCCCAGATGAGGAAGAAATCGCGGAAAGCTTGAGAAGAGATGAAGACCGTTTCCTGCTGTTAGAAAACCTCTGTGTCGAGTTCGAAGCAAAGTGCGGCGGAAACTCGAAGTTGGTACAGTTCGTTCGGGATACTTGGCATCCTCGTATGATCTACGAGCTGGAGCAGTTGGACAGACAGGAAATGGAGAAAAGACCAACTGCAGAAGAGCGTCTAGCGGCGGAAGAGATCGGTGTCATTTGGGACTCGGACAGTTCTGAAGCCTCCACAATCGAAAGCGAAGACCACGAAGGAGCACTGGAATACTACACACGTATGTTGGACGACATAGCCCCAGAACGTGACATACAATTTCCGTATGGCTTTGGGTTTAGTTGATAGCAAAGGTCAGCAAGTTGGCACTCATTGAGTTTTGGGCCAACATGAGGAATATCATGGCGGCTGGTTTATGAATTGTATCTCGACAGAACTATGAAGGACCATGACCTAGCGTACTTCTGTGACAGAAGAATCCTGCATGTCCCATCTGCTGTTTGATGAGTCAACAGGTTCCAACGACAAGCTGAGACTGTACCGTTGAGAAACCAACTTCACGAAGCGTGTCTCTTTCGTCAACGTTATGACCTCTGACTGTCCCTGCGATCCAACGCTTTCTGCCGCTTAACAACCCACCCTTGGTCGTCTTCTGCCATCAACGTCACTCCATGAGGGTATAAAACTGCACCTGCGCGATCATCGGCTCGACGGTGGGCATGCGTGCAGCACGGCCGCCGTGTGTCTCTTCACCACAGAAGTGACGAAGAGGGCGCAAGGTGCCGCTGCCATCGGCCTCGACTTCATGCTTAATGAATTCTAGGACTCGGGTGAATAGCTCGCGAGGAGAGACAGACTTCGCCTTGGCCTGAAAGCCGTAGCCGATGAGAAGGATCTTGGATCTGGGCTGCTCGATCAGCAAGCCACAGCCGCCGCCGTGAAACCCATCTCCGAGACGCTCGATGGTGATCTGGAGGCTGTACAGGGCAGTGGTTACGGACGCCTTTGCGTTGAGGCCCGAGATGTTGGCGGGGCTCAGGTTGAAGCCGATGGTCTTGCGGTGGGCAGACCGAGCGTCGAGAAGGATGGGCGAGATGTCGCGAATGACCTTGAATGACTTCGGGACTTGCGACGGCGCGGAAGCGATCTTCTCCAGATCCTTGATAACGACACCAATGGCGCCGTAGCTGCCGAAAGCAGTCCACATATCTTCCGCTCGGCCCTGGCTTCGGGGATGGTCGACGACCAGCAGAGGGTGCTTGTTGTCCGCCGCAGTCTGACAAACGTCGTGGTAAGGGGCGTCACTGGCATTAGGAGCCCAAAAGTCAATGTGTGACGCGAACGTCTTCCAAACAGCCACGGTTCCGGTGGTTTGAGGGGCGCCATGGAGAACGCGCTTGACTGGCACTGTGGTAAAAACAGGAACGCTGATGGCCTTCTTGACCATGATTGCCAGGCCGTTAATGTAATTGGCGAAGTGGTAGGCTGAAAAAAGACTCTCGGCAGCCTCGACATCCAGTGCCAGTTGGTCCCAGGCCACTCGTTCGTTGGCTGCCATGGCCGAGCCCAGTCCCCGAAAGTGAGCAACCATATCCCGGGGGACGTCTGCGTCGAACGCAGCGGTTGCTCGGGGACTGCAGTCCCGGGTGTCCCTGGTAAGGCCAACACAGCCAGAAAGTTGAACCATAATGATGGTGTTCTTCAGGTCAACCTTTCGGACGTGGTTCGCCAAAGCGGCGACCGCTCGCTGCTCGACCCGGGCGAGCTCCGGGTTGAAGATTGAAACGGCGTCGATGGTGCGCGTGGTCTGGCCGATGACCTCTCCGTCGTCGTCGACCACCTCGTCGCGGATCTTGGCGCGCGGGAAGCGGTTGGAATCAAGCTTGATCCACGAGGGGGCGTGGTCAGACAGATCTGACAGTAATGTTAGTCGTGCTCAAAGTCAGCGACGCTTCTCAGTGCTTTGAGAGCTCGAGCAAAATGCGCGGCCCTCATATAGAGAAGTAAACACAGCACAGGGAGATGAAATTGCCAGGCTTGGGCGATAAAGACGGCGGACGAAAGGGGCAATCCATTTCCAACATTCTGACGATAGCGGAGAGGACAAGATGAAAAAGTAATAACTTACTATCCGTTGAGTCTCCCTTCAGCGATCCAAACCATTGGATCACCACACGCAGTCCATTGGCGTTCGACTGGGCGATGAGGGCGTCGAGAGCTGAGAAATCGTAGGACGCCTCGACGGGTTCAATGACTCCCCACGTGACGGGCGCGAAGATCGTGTTGGCGCCGGTGTCACGAAGCTTCTCCCAAAAACGGGAGATGTAAGCGGCGGAACTGGTGGACGAAGCTGCCAGCTGGCCTCCCAAGATGAGGAAAGGCTTTGAGTCGACGAAGAGCTCGTACACACCGTCTCTGTGGACGATGTTAGATCTGCGGTTCATCGTCAATGTCGGTAACCGGCGGAAAGATCGCAGAGTGGTGATATCTTGAGATTTCCCTGGGTTTGTGGGCGACAGGAAGTGTTTTTACCTTTTCCTCAGACAGGCACGAAGGTGAAAGTCGAAGAAGTAAACAAAGTCGCATGGGCAGTCGGCCAGCCCGAAGCAACGTGGGTGGGCGCTCTGGAGGTCGGTCGGTCTGGGGCTCTCCCAGCGAGCTCAAGAGATCCCCCCTTCTCATTGGACGTTGACCGGACAGCCTTCCTCCCTCCTCAAGGCTCGGTGCGGTCGTCTGCATTCACCTTCTTCTTCCTGCCTCCCTCCTGTCCTTCTAGCTTTTGCTTCAGTCGTCGCCTGACAATCACCGAAGGATTTTCACTTACCAAACAACACTTCTCTCCACCATACCACTAGATCATCGACACTTCGACAATGTCCAGCATGCCCGTAAGATCTCCCCTTTCCTTCGTTCAGCTACCTCTTCGAATATGACCCGTCCCGTTCCCCAGACCAGTTCCGAGGACAGATTCATGATTGCCGCGAAGGAGAACGACGAGATCATCAAAGACTCCCAGGAGCAGATCGAGATCCTTCGAGCAGCCATAGAGAACGCACACAAGATGATCAAGACACACCTCGAGAAGATGGAGCAGGCCGCCTCCGCCGCCAACGAGAATCACAAGCTGGACATCATTGAACAGGCACGCCTTCAAGACGAACTCGCCGACAAGCAGTGGGAGGCTACCAAGGCCATGGCCACGGGCAGCCTCGCTCTGTACAACCAGAACAAGAACTCATCGGACGCCTTTGACAAGGCTCGGCGCCTGGGTCCCAAGATCCGTTGATCTGGGGCCCAGGGCAAGGTGAAGACCTGTATATATTGCTACCAACGATTCGCGGCGAACGACGAGTGTCGCCGTCACCTGAAGCTCCAGCATTACGCTGAGATGTGGCCTGATTGGACGGCCGCCGAGGCCCAGGCCGCCGCGGAGCGCGATGCTCCTCGAGATCCCTTGCGGGAGTATGCGATGGCTTACCTTTCACATCGACTATGGGCAACATTATTCGCCATACCTACGACGACACGCCTTGTTTCTTGCGCGAGCAAAGCCTCTGTTCTGCGGACGCTCGGCGCGTCTCGGCCTCGGGTCGGGCGTTTGCTTTGTAGTACGGAATCGGTAGGTACTGTCTTCCAGAATTCGAGGTCATTGACACTAACGAGATTGCCGAGGTTCACCATCATTAGCGATCACCAGGGAGTGTATGTCAAAGATAAGCATCGGGACTCGGGAAAGGTCGCGCGGAAACTGAAGCAGGGGTTCGCTGGGAAATAGGGCGAAGACGAAATTGAGACCTTTCAGACACAGCCGACCATCGTACCAAGTGAGCAAATATGTGTGACGTGCATGCGGGGTGCATATTTATCCATGTCCAAGTGCTGTCGACGACCAGCCATCCTGTTCTTGAACAGGGGTGCTTCGTAGATCTTTGGATCGCGATACGTTGGGTTTCCCCGATGACAGACTCGGATAGCTCCGATCCTTGCCAGCTTCCTGTTCGAACCTCTCGTCTTCATACTTTTCGAGCGTGATTGATCGATTGCTTCGCGTATCTGTGAGTCTATCTTCTTTCGGTCCCGCTGACATCACGCCAGACCTGGGCAAACAATGGCCACAGCGCGCCTCGGTCGAATGCGACGCGAGGGCGTTTTCTCGACAACACGTACAAATACACGAGCGTCAAAATCCAAAGAAGACATGAAGCGAGTCCCTACCGACTACGAAGAACTACAGACCCTCAGCCGAATGTCAAGATGAAGGCTGCCATCCCCATCCTCCTCGCCGGCTTCGCTGCGGCCGCCGACCTAGCCAGCAAAGACTTCCGCGTCAACATCAACGACAAAACCGGCGCCATCGACAAAATCACCGACCCGCGCTTCAAGAACGCCATGAACTGGGTAAGCACCGGCTCCAACGCGCCCTGGCTACCGACCGGCAGCCGCTGGGGTCTAGGCTACGCCGACCTGGGCCAGGACTCCCTCCACCGCCACTTCTGGAACTTCCCCCGGATCACGAAGCGCGATAATACCGTCGAAGCAGTCTACAGCGCGGGGTCTCTCGAGCTCCAAGTCAGTCGGAGCGTCGACGACAAGGACCAGTCCTTCACCGAGTCGTACACCTTCACGAACAAAGGCGCCGCGGCGCTGGATCTGGGCAGTCGAGGGACAACCTCTTTGGCCGTTTACACCCCTTTCAACGACCACTACACGAACACAAGCGATTGTGTCGCGGCGCGCTCGCATGCACACGTCTGGGCGTTCGGAGGAGCTTCCTCCTGGGTTAAGCTGAACCAGATGGGTGGGAAGTATCGGAATCTTGGGTTAGTTTTGACGAAGGGCGCGTTGGTGGGCTACAGTATCGAGGGACGCGACCCAGTCACGCTCTCCAATACGCGTGGCGCTTTTCTCCTTCATCCTTCTATCCAGACGCTCCAGCCGGGCGAGTCGAGCACGATCGCGTGGACGTGGTTCTGGCACAGCGATTGGGACGACTTCTTCCAGCAGAGCACCAACCGCTCTGAGCAATTCGTAAGGATCGAGACGGGCGACTACACATCCGTTACCAGGGAGACGGGCTCCATCTCCCTCAGCGGTGCCTCCGTGAATGCCAATACGAAAGTCAGCGGCCAAGCAGTCCAATGCGACGACCAACTCTGCCATTACAACTTCACTGCCGGGCGTCCAGGGCGGACGAACCTCGTAGTCACGACAGATAACGGCTACAACTCGACAATCTTCCTCAATACCGTCCCGACATACGACGATCTCATCGAAAGCCGCACCAAGTTCATCATCGAAAACCAGCAAGACCACACGCCCGACACCCCAGCCGAGGGAGCCTACCGCGTCTTTGACAACCAAGCCAATCTCATCGCGACGTGGGACACCTCTACCGACCGCAATCCCGGCCGCGAGCGCGTCGGGATGGGCATTCTCATGGCGCGCTGGCTTAAAAAGAATCCCGAGAACGTCGAGGTGCGGGAATCGCTGGAGAAGTACTACACTTACGTCTCGACCAAGCTACAGGAAGAGAATGGTTTTGTGCGCGATAGACCGATTGGGATGGACGGCAGCAAGAAGCGCCTGTAAAACTGGCCGTGGGTTCTCCAGTTTCACATCACCGTTGCGGCGCTCGATCTCAATTTGACCGGGACCGTGGCGGAGAAGACGCCCCTGGAGCGCTTCATGCTCACCCTGGAGAAATTTTACGCAGAAGGCGGCGGCCAGCTGTACGCCATCGGCCTGCCTATCCTCGAAAGCCTGCGAGCGCTCGAGAAGCACGGGAACGAGGAGTGGTTGCAACGCGCAAAGGAGCTTTTCCTCGCCCACGGCGAAAACATCGTCACACGAGGGCTAGACTACCCATCTTTCGAAGTCAACTTCGAACAATCCATCGTCGCCCCCGCCGCCGTGATGCTACTCGAGCTCTGGCGCTACACCAACGACGACAAGTGGCTCGAAGCCGGTAAACTACACCTCGACACCCTCCTCCTCTTCGCCGGCAAACAGCCCGACTACCGCCTCCACGACGTCGCGATCCGTCACTGGGACGGGTACTGGTTCGGCAAAGACCGTATGTGGGGAGACACGTTCCCGCACTACTGGAGCACGCTGAACGGCATCACGCTACATCACTACGGCAAGGGTTTGAAGAACGATACCGAAGGCCAGGCGGCGGCGTTGAAGACGGCTGGTGGTATCCTCCAGAACAATCTTGCTTTATTTGAGGCGAACGGGCGCGCGTCGTGTGCGTACATTTATCCGACCTCCGTCAATGGCCGCGCTGGGAACTACAAGGATCCGTATGCGAATGATCAGGATTGGGTATTGGCTCACTTGTTGCAGATTGAGGAAGACGATGCCTTTGATGAGGAGCAAGCAGGCAGATAAGACATGGAGAAGTTCTCTACGGCAAAGCGTGGTTTCAGACGAGGAGGATATTTTTTGCGTCTATGTTTCCCGCGAGATACTGAGCTGCCTACGTCCAGGCAAACGCGAGATCCCTTGATAAGCTTTAGTTGATCTCTCATATTTAGGCCTGTCAATACAGACTTCTGATCAGCCAAGCTCGGCTTCCAAACACTCAAGCTCCAGTATCGTCATGACTGCCGGCTTGACAAATGTTGGCACCTCAGGATGACGTTGACGCGCGTCGCAAGCATTTGCCACCTTCGTCAACACAATCTTTGCATACCTCTCAAAATGATCTACTTGTCATACGAGCTCCTCGACGCCATCCTCACGTACCTCCCAACACGAAAGAAATGGCTCCTCCGACGCACCTGCAAAGCCTTCAACGACGTCCTCCTCCAGCAACTCTTCAAGATGCTCCGCAAACTACAGCGTGCCTGCAAAACACTCCCCGGAAACGTTAAATTCCTCCCCCACGAGATGGAGCACTTCTACAATTTTCTCCTCCAAGCCGGACTGTACGAAGGACTCCCCCGTGTCACCGAGTCGCACCGATACGAATGGAGAGATAAGTACCAATATCCGCACGAACCCTACGACCACCTCCCGTTCACGCTGACGCAGGCGAGCAAGATGCACAATCCTCTCTACACGAGCGTGTGCGGCCTGACGATGCTGCATCTGTACGATATGCATCGCGAGGCGGGCGTGATGGGGGTGTGCGGGACGTGGGCTGTGTACTGCAGTTATTGCAATTTTCGCCAGAGTGCGGTCCGCGACTGTCCTGACGGGTTTAGGGGCTGCGGCGGGATGATGAGCCTGAACAGAAATATGCCGCGGTGTGCGTACTGGTACACGGCGAGAATGTTCCGGTCTGTGCGGATGTGGGAGTATCAGTCCTATCTCGAGGAGGCGTTTGGTGTGTACGAGGCGATTGAGGACATTGAGAGGAGATGTGAGCACTTTGATGCGGTGAGAAGGCGTGAATATCAGGAGGCAAGCATTGGGGGAGTCTGGAAGCCACCACGCTGGCCATGAGGATGCGAGCTGTCACTGTATCGTACCAATAGCATGCGTTGACGAAGTCCATCGAGAGGAAAGCCCTTGTTCGATTAATGGAGATGACCCAAGATGATTGCACACAAGAAATATCTATAATATGCACAAGAACGATCTATCTACTTGGATATTTCCTGCTGTATGTACATCGTAGAAAACACTTTTCAATCCACCATCGAGTTGTAAGTCAGGTAATCATATCATCTTTCCTTGCGTGTTTACTATGTTTATGCCGCAATGTCGGGCCAATCTGGAACCAAATTAGCGCCTGTACGAAATTTCAGCACCTGTGTGGGATACTGACCTTCCAAAGAACAATCGGAATGGGAATGAAAACAATGGCAAGAAATGCGAGCAACGAACTTGCCCAGCCAACACCCAGCCTGGTGTACATGGCCGTCGCAAACATCGGGAAACCTGCACCAAACGCACTCCGGAACAGGTCGTTTCCAGCAAGCACCGATGCAGCGTAGTCAGGGTACGCGTCTGTGAGGTAGTTCAACACCGGGTTGAATAATAAGAAGGATCCGATACTGAACCAAGCAGAACCGATGATAGGCATGATCCAGTTGATGCTCTGTCTTGAAGACCAGCCGAACCAAAACAAACAGATTGGAATTGCGACGCCACCTAAGAACGCTGGGGGAAGTCGTTTTTCCGGCTGGATAAATCCATTCTCGTCGAACTCCGGTTCGAGGTACTTGTGCAGGTACCAGAAAAAAGGCGGCACGATAATGATGGCACCGACAAAGATTCCCAGGAATGAGAGCCCAATCAGCCCGGTATTGAACCCGTAAATGCCTCGAAAGACAACGGCAAATGACTCAAACCAGATGTAAAGCAGTCCATAGATGAGAGCCGTGTATAGATTCAGAAGGAAGACCATCGGTTCCGTGAAGTTGAGAGTGAATGGGCGGACAAGCAGCATTTGGACGACGTCCCGTCTCGTCATAGTTTCCGCCATTAGCTCTCCCCTGCTGATTAGCTTATCATTGCCAGTCAGTTTTCTGATACGTCGTGTACGGCGGAAGAGGATATTGCTGGAGCTCGTCTCCGGGAGAAAGACGAAGAGCAGAATGAAGGTGAACCCTCCGATCCAGATAAGCTCCAAAATGGTCCAGGTCCAGCCGTTGGCGTCGACTGCGAAGCCGCTAATCACAGGTCCCATGGTAGGACCGCAGACAGCAGCAATGCCTGTATGCACACAGTTAGCCAACATGGATTAAGGAGCACTGAGAGTGTTCAATACCCCAAATGCAAATTGCGTAAGCGCGTTTCTGCGGCCTCCAAATCTCGGCTAGTGAAGCGCCTCCAACAGCAAGGACAGGCGATCCGACGAAGCCAGTGATAAAGCGGAACGCTAGTAGCATACCGAAATTCACTGACAGAACCGTTGGAATCTGGAGAAGTACGAAGAGGGCGATACTACCGATATAGACGGGATTGCGGCCAATCTGGGGAGCTTCCGAGATGGGACTCCAAACCATCTGACGCAAAGGTCAGCAAGAAGCGGTCGTGATGCGACATTCGAGGAATTCATACCGGTCCAAGCCCGTATCCGGCGACAAAGAGCGTGAGGCCCAAGATCCCAGCGACTGGACTGACCCCAAATACCCGCGAGACGTCCCTCACACCAGCTGCGTAAATGGCGGAGCCGATGTAAATGGCAATGGTTAAGAGACATATTTGAAATGTTGCGAAGGTCTTTTTTGTGAGCGACCAGTTCAAGGGGTTCTGCAGATCGTTAGCCCTCATCCCCTCTCGCAGTCTATCCCAACGAACCTCTGGATCTCCAGGTAGGAACTCGACAAGGCGCATATCCTCCCCCTTCTCGGAGTCTACCCTCACATCTGTCACCTCGCTCTGGACCTGACTAGCCCCTTCTGCTTGCTCGGGTACTCCTTCTTGCGACGAGTTCGCTATACTCCTGTCGCTTGCGTCGGGCTCGATGTACCTCCTCCATATCTCTGGGTTCTTTTCTTCATAATACTGAAGCTGCTTGATCTTCCCGCGGGCCAGGAAATTCAGCAGGATACCGAACGGCGTGTCGTGAAGCAGGTCCATGGCGTTGGACCTCTCACCGAACCTAAGTCGTCCCAACCGTCCAGCTTCCGTGGAAGCGGCGGCTGGAAATGCAGGCACAAATCACCGTGAACAGACAGTAAGCGCGGGCGGCGGATGGTTGATTTTGTACAACATAAACATGTCATCTCGAAAACGCTGCGTTGCCGTGGATGTTGATGGTATTGGATAGTGATAGACGGACAGGTGCCTTGAAAGAAATTCCGAGGCCAGGCCACCCCCTCTTGGAAACACGATGCTCGGGGCATGATGTAGACTAAGTAGCGAGATCTCGAAGTTGGGTTAAATTGCCCGCTTGAACCTGACAGGAGTCTGTGCAAAAGCGCATGCAGGAATAACGCTACATCAGGTGCAGCCCGCTGTGACTCCCGAGCATCCCGCACGTTGATGCACAGGTGCGGCCCCGATCATTATCCCCCGCTCGCGGCTCGGAGAGATCCACAAACATCATAGATGCATTGATCTCGGACATCGCATCTTGTGCCAGAATATGGCTCGACGAAAGCTTCCCTTTCTCGTCGGATCGGTTGAGTCCCCATGTGGTAAACTTGACCGATGTCTTCTTCTTTTTGTTTCTCTCTGATAGGAACAAAGGTGTCAGAGCGTCATTTTCCGAATAGAATACCCCAAAGAAATCAGTCTGCATTCCGCGTGGGATGGTCCCGAAGCAGCGGTTGCGGTTTCTTGAGCCTTGTCGACGGTGTCTCCCGATATGCATGAATAGAAGAATGAGGCGGCTGTCATCGAAAAACAGAAACTCAATCAAAATGGCCAAGGCCTTTCAGGGTTCAGGGAAAGAGACTGCAAACCTTCGCGATCCAGTAAACACAACGTAACACGAGATACAGGGTATACTTCATTATGCGTGCCTAGTACGAGGCAAAGGGCTGTTTCGAACACTCCAGTTAGTGAACATTTGAGAGTAATGCCGTTGCCTGTCCTTCTCTGACACTTCCCTGTCTTCGTTTGATGCACCTCAGTCCACGCACTCAACTCTGCCTACAGAATTGCATTTAGGTGTCGTGGCTTAGTATACCAGCCGGATAGAATACCATAACGCCGAGATCTTCAGAAAGCTTTGTGGAATGTTTGCGCTGTCGTCCCCTTTTAAGAATATGCTGTGGCTGCAACATGCTTATCACACAGAGCGATTGTCTATCGTACAGAATCCCCAAGTCCAGCAAGCTCGATTAATGTTGTATCTCTGTGCGACGCGTTAATGAAACAAGATAGCCACAAAACTCTGACTTCTTCGTTCGAGTGAAAGACTTTGCATCGACTTGATGCCACGCCCTAGCAGACTGAAAATGAGACATTCCAGATGAGAGCAACACATGAACCAAAGCCGGCTACAGCCATGGGACGGTGTCGGATTCCCCTCAAGTCGTAAAAGATTATCTTTTCTGTGGCCATTGAAGCGCATTAACTGCCCAAATATTTTCTTTCTGACTGTGTCTGCCAATTAAATTGGCCTTGTACCCTAGAAGAAATCCAGACGACGCTTTTTACAAACAATTGTGATTGTGCAGGAGGCATTTGACCCCCGAATGCCTTTCATGCTACAGCTGGGTATTTGGGGATGTTCTACTGTTTCCGACACCGGAAAACTCGCAGAAAAGTACACGTCCATACAGAGCCGAACACCCGGGTTCGATATTGCAGAGTCCAGAACCACCAAATATTGAGTCCACAGTGGGCTTGGCAGGGTTTCCATACACCAACCCGCCGGCACAGGCTAAATAGGAATATTTCCGGGACCAGATGGGGTCAATTATCGAAATGAGTGTTTCGACTTTTCGGCGGTGTGAGCAGCGCTGATTCTGCTGGAATCCGGTTGATGGAAACGGAACCACGGCATTACTGCATGCATGCAGTTGCAGTCTGCAAATGGAACCTCGCATTCCACCCGCAAGTCCGGGGGAGACGGAATTTTTCTTCCATATTGGCCCCCAACGGAGATAAATGGAGACATGCGTGTCCTTCGGCCCTTTATCATACCAAAGTCCATTTCGGTGCTTTTAGTCCATTATGCGGTAAAATCCTCTAGCAGCATCACAATGGCTTGTTCTTACTTGGCTTGCAGCTAGGCCCGCCCGTCAGCCGGCATTTACCAATAGAGTTCACTTAGGGCTGACGGATTCGATGTCTCATTCTGGCGAGGCCAATGACATGCCTCAATTGAAGCCATTAGGATCCGAACTTCCGCAGCGATGGAATGTTAGAGACGCAAGCTCATGTCATGGCTTACGGCGTGGAAACCACGCGAACGGCTTTGAAATCAGCAACTCAGGACGAACTGTGATGTCATGTCTGTTTTTGTTCTGGGGGATGGCATCCCAGGGCATCTGCATCGAGGGCAATGCCACGAACTTCAACCACAGGGAACCTGGGTTATCAGAGAGATCCAGCAGATACAGCACTGCTTGATTACCTGCGTCGCAACAACTGCAATTCACTGTCACATCGTGAGGTATCGCAATGACTACCGCTCGGGTCCTGTTGTTTGGCTTCCTGGCCGCAGCCACCTCCGCAATTCCCCTGCAACGAAGGGCCAGCGCGCCTTCGTTCTCCAGTATCGTAGTATTCGGGGATTCGTTTAGCGATAATGGTAAGTTGATCGTCGCACGAAGCCCATGCAACGATGATTAACCATGAGACCAGGCAGCGGCGCCGCGAGAGTGTCGAATGGAACCTGGCCATCAGACAAATAGTTAGCATTTCCACCGCATTAGAAGACACAGAACTGACCATAGTTGAAGCTACAAAGGGCGCTTCTCGAACGGCATCGTCTGGGCCGAGTATGTGGCAGGCAATCTATCCATCCCGCTCTACGATTATGCCATAGGCGGAGCGACGACTTCCAATTCCCTCATCCAGGGGTACACCGGGCCGAAGAGCTCGATTGCGGTGCCATCGGTCGTCGATCAAATCGTCACATTCTTGGGACAGAAGACTCCTCAAGGCGACAGCTTTTCGGCTTCTGATTCGACTGCGGTTACGACGCCGCTCTTCGTTATGTTTGCGGGCGCTAACGACATCCTGTTCAATGCCAATATCAGTGCTTCTCAGTCATATCAAGTCCTGGCACAAGCGGAAGCAGAGCTCCGAGACGCACATCCCACAGCCGAAGTCCTGACGATCACACCGCCAGACCTCGCGAGGTTACCGTATGGCTTTTTCATAGACAACATAGCCAAACAGCAGCTGCAGACCTACACGGATCTTCTTGGGGATTTGCTGGGCGGCTCAAAGTCGGGGGCAGTAAACGTTGACCTGCGACCTCTCTTCGACGACTTCGAGTACTATGCCACTCCCGAGGCATACGGCTTCGCGGATCTGGGGAAGTATGGAAGTTGTCTAGTTGGGGCGTATGGCGAGACGCCGAACGTGACGATCTGCGGAGACGCCGAGAAGCAGGTCTACTGGGACGAATATCAGTGAGTTTTACTTCATTTTCCCCCCTTTCTGCCGACGCAATGTTTTCGGGATAAACGTCTGACGTAGAGCAGCCCGACAACGCACTCGCACTCATGGATCGCCAAGCGAATTCTGGATGTGCTGAGTGGCCCGTTCTGATTTCTCCTTGGGGCCAGGTCTGCGAGTTCTGCGAGGCGCTCGTGGTGTTCGGTATTGCGAGAGGCAACACGCCTCGGCTGTCTTGAACGGGCCTTGCAGGACTGCAGAAAGTTGTCTTGGGTGCTGTATCACAGAAACCACCATGGCGAAAGCGAAAGTCTGAGGCAGACGAAAGAAGCAAATTTAACAACCCGGATCCAGTTGTCAGGCCGGAAATGGTGTCTTGGACCGGGGGCCCCTCGCTGACGTTTCCTAAATAGCGATGCCATCCCCACCCCTGGCATCATCAACCGCTCTGTGTCAAACAAGCACAGACGAGTTGTTTGGAGCGGTAGTCCCCGTCGCCGCTGACAAAGGGATGCTCAGGGGCGATCCAAGGACTTGCTGTCTGATAGTCACGCTGGCGTGGTCGACAATGGCGACATCCACCGCTGGCCAGACCGCACGGCACTGGGCTCGGGTTCGCCAGATATATGTGATGTGGATAGTTAGCAGTAAACTCAAAGTGTCTGCCCTAAAAATGGGTGTTTGTATGTCTGGAGCTTCATGCTCCGCATGCACGACCAAGAGATCCCCATCGGTCCCATATTATCGTGAATTTCAAGTAGAATATCGTGCAGAACCGACGGCCCTGCTAAGACGCGTGGCGGTATATCATCACAGGCAGAAAATTCAGGCTCATCACACAGTCCAATCTGGAAGATTCTGTGACTCCCGGGAATGATAAGTGGAAAATTGAAGAATGACGTGGACTCAATTTGGCTTTAAGCGCTGTCCATGGCCCGAAGCCGGACTTCCGGCGAAGCGGACGAGGAGGTTATGGTTATTGCGTCCGATGTCCATGAACACGCAACGCAAAAAAAAAAGAAGAAGCAAATCTCGGAGATGTCTCACCGATCGATGTTGCAGGACCAAGGACTGGACGAGCCGAGGGAAGCCATTCGTCAACATCGCGGATATGACTTCCTGAAATTCCGGTCTTGCACCAGGCGACAGACGGGTGCAACCCTTCAGCTTTGGCGCCGTGGTGTTTGTTAAGGCTAGCCAACTGGTTGATGTTAGGCGGTGGGATGCAGGCATGTCCCCTGGCCTCATTTAAGCGCGACGTCTGCCATCCGATGGACGCGTAAGTAAGACATGGTCCGTCCCCATTGGAGATGGGACTAAGCAGCACCCCAACCCCGAAAAAAACAAGAAGAAACCCCCGAACTGGGAATGATAGCCAAGCTTCCCTCGCCCTAATATGTCAAGGTGAAACAGCGACGACGACGTCCCTCATTTACAGCAAACTGTCCATGGTCGGAAAATAAGGGATAGGTGGAGCATCGAGACCCGTTTTTCTCTTGAAACGCATCCAGCGATCCCCGTTTCTATCCCATCACTTGGATCGACAGAGCACCGTCCAGCCAGTGGTAGCCACACACACACACAGCATCACCTCAGTAAAAGTTCAATCCTGGAGAAGATCCATGGTTCCTTGACCCGGTCTAGAACTGGCTCAGTCTGTGTTCTCGTCCCTCTGAATCCTCCGTGAACATAGCTCCACCATCCGCACCATCCACACCCACGCAGCATCCATCATCCCGCCCGCGGGTACAGACGCCCCCCCTTAACCCCTGATGGACACTCGTTGGAAATTGACAACAATTTGACACCCATGCTCCTCACCACTGTTCTGTCTTGATCGAATGCGGCAAAGTCGGGCCATCGACCTATCCAAGCTTCACTTGAGCCGCAGACACAGGCACCTCAACTACCGAATAGTGGCAACTTGCCTGGGTTCTGCCCTGTCTCTTGGGTGCTAAACGCCCACATCCCGCACTTCTGGGTCGGCCCCTTGCAGGTGCATCTCTCCTCCGATGGCGCAACGGTTCACCATGTTTGCCATGTTGCAGTGTTGCTGAATCAGTTGACGCCATCTGGGCGGTCCATGACCCAAACAAGAGTGGCCGTCCGTGGCAAGGCCATCTCGATATAAAGAACGAGTCTTTCTCCTTCCAAGAGCTATCCCTTCTCTTCTCCATCCCATCCCATCTCCATCACTTTCATTCACAGCATCGAAGCTAGTCTTCTGTTCCGTTCTTGATACCAAGCTTTCATTCGTTCTTCGACACATTCCTTTCCAACCTACCCAACTCGAACAACCAACCCACCGACTCCTCAGTCAAATCTCAATCAACACACTTTTCAAAATGAAGGCCAACGTTATCGCTGCTACCATCCTTGCCGCCTTCTCGGCTGGCGCTTTCGCCCAGGACAACGAGGAGCTCCCCACCGGCTTCCCTACTGGCTTTCCTACCGGTTTCCCCACCGGCTTCCCTACCGGCTTCCCTACTCAGGTCCCCGGTGCCGCCCAGCCCTCCGGTGGCTTCCCCGGCTTCGGTGGCGGTTTCCCCTCCGGCTTCGGCGGTGCCCGCCCTACCCAGGTTCCCGGCGCTGCTCAGCCCTCCGGCGGCTTCGGCGGCGGCTTCCCCGGCTTCGGCGGCCACCACGGTGCCCCCTCCGGCTTCGAGACCCGCATCAACACCCGCTCCGACGAGGCTGCTGGCTTCGGCGCTGCCGCTGCTGAGACCGGTGCCCCCACCGGCACTGGTGCTGCTGGCGCCCGCCCCACCGGCAAGGGCAAGGGCCGCGGCAAGGGCAAGAACCACGGCACCGGCATTCCCTCCGGCTTCCCCTCCGGCCGCCCTACCCAGGTCCCCGGCGCTGCCCAGCCCTCCGGCGGCTTCGGCGGTGGCTTCCCCGGCTTCGGCGGCGCCGAGCCCACTGGCTCTGCTTAAGCAACATACAAAGTGCGACAATCTTGGGGGATTTGACATACCACTTGGTCTGACTATCGGAGCTTCATCAGGAGCGTGCTTGAATGTGATGGAAGATGTTTCTTTTTTCTTTTCTTACTACTCCTAGCGGAGCTTTCTCTTGTACAAAATAGCAAAGCCGCTTGGAGTAGCTGGCTGGTACATTGCATGGGCGTTTGCTTTTTTGTAGACTTATCAATAAGAGCACTCGTCTTCTAAACTTTTTGATCTCGCCAGTTGTGACTAGTGTGCTTTGATCTTGAATGCATGAACCCTAAACAACGTCTCCGAGATTTGCTTTTGCTTCTCTGCGTTGCACCCTAATCAAATTTGATAACGTAGCCTTGAGAGGCTTCAGCGACCGCGAGTTGGTAACATCTTATAAGTAGAAGCGAAAGTCTAGATTTTCAATGTTGAGAACAACAGGTTCATCTTCTAACATCCGTTTTGATTGTTTATATCATGGAATCATTTACTTACAAAAAACACGGACTAGAATCAAGTAGTGATTGATCAAGACGTTCGTGCGGCAGACGGGCGGTGTTTCCATAGAACCCTAGGCTCTATCATTGTCTCGTCTTCTGCGGAGGCCTCAAGCACGTGCTCGTGAATTCAAGGAAGAGTCTAACTCAGTTGAGGCCAAGGGTTAATTGTTAATGAATCATAGAACATATCCCAAGCTGGAAATGTCTGTTCAAATTACTCAACTTTGTTACTATCATGTACTTCTGGAACGGTAAAGCCCAGTCTATCATAAACTTGTAATATGTACATGTAAAATGCGAAGGTGTCTACAATTGCGCTGCCAACTAAACATCATCATCCCTCATTATCCCGTCTCGTTGCGTCTCATGACCAAAGCTTTACATGAACTGAACAGCAGCCAAGACAGCAGCAGCGAAAACGAGAGTCGCAGGTCTGTTCAAGTTGGCGATGCTAGCCTCATCAGTGGCGGTAGCGCTCTATGATCGAGTTAGTCTCTGGTTTGGCCTACGGCTGGGAGAGATAATACGTACGGTGCTTGACGTCGGGGAGGACGTGGATCCAGTTGCACTCGTGCTGGAGGTTGCTGTCGCATTGCTTGAGCTGTTCGAAGCCGAGACGGGGGTAGCGTCCAGGTTGCACCCCTCGGCAGCCTCCGTGACACCATCGCCGTAGTACTGCCAGATATCGTACTTCTCGGCACACTCAAGGCAGCCCTCCAGAAGACCGGTCCAGGTCTCGTTGGTGCAGTAGTTGTCCTGCTCGGCTCCGAGGATGGCGTAGCCTGCATGCTGTCAGTATCCGTGTCTGCACGTCGGAGTTTGGGTCACGTACCGCAGTCGGCGTGGCATTCGTACTTTGGCCCGCTGGTCAACTGCCGCGCGTGGAGAGGGACGACGGGGAGCCACTCAAGGGCAGCGGCCGTGGAGGCCAGAGTCGCGATGACGGTTGTAAACTTCATTTTGGCTGTTTGGTCTTTTGACTGCAGCAATGCTGAAAGCAGATCGAGCGAGGAAAGATAGGGAAAATGCTCACATCTTGATCATTGGGGACTCGATGCTACTAAATAGTGACAAGATCTCGGAACAAACAGGCCACTGCATACGCAATCTTCTCCGGGGATCCTCTTGGTGGATCGATAACTTGCAGGAAGAGGAACTCTTGGCCGAGTGCCTCGAACCGATGGGCGAATCAAGTTGTAGCGGCCGAGGATGCCGAGTTCCCAAGTTGCATCGACTCATCTATGGTGGAGAATCGGATTGCTTGGTTAGCGTTGAAGAGTACTGAAATTCTTTCTCACATGTGAGTCGAGTTTTCACAGACTTTCGCAACTTCAAACAGCGAGTTCAGCATGTCGCATGTTAGACTGCTACGGCTGAGCGCCATGTTGCTCTGAACCCTCCATACCACTTAGAAAATAATGGAAGAACCATTGCCTTGAGAGTATTAACTTGACACAGCAAGATCCGAGTACAATGATTGTAAACAACTCAAAGCAAGATCCAAGGACTTGGCAGGGATGCCATGCCGCTGGAGGAGGGACCGAGATCTCGGCGCATGCTTTGATTGGTTGATGCCATCTTATCAGATGATCTGATATCCGCTCGCAATTTCGAGCTTTTCGCCCACCTGAATCATGCCTGAGGATGTCTTTATTTGCCAAGCTTCAACGGCTCAAAGCCCGTTGCCGAAACCCAACGACTCGGCCGGGACCGCCTCCGGACACCGGACGAGTCTTCCGCTTCAATTTCCCGCCGAAAACCACCAGCCGGCCTCCTCGCAGACGAACAAAAGGGTTGGGCACGAACAGGCCCGGCACACCCCTGAGCCTCGCGCCAATCTGGGCCTGTATTCCGTCAACGTTGTGGAGTTCGTTCGCCTGGCGTTCTTGCGGTGTGGTCTTCGCCCCTGTCCGAACCCATTCTCAACCCCGTCCGCCACTCTTCCTCTCCAATGACGACCCCGACCCGGTCCCCAGGGCGTCAGCGCCCTCGAAGCGATCCGGTTCGTCGTCCTCGCGTCTCTGTGGAAACCTCAACAAACCAACCCATGGACGCCCAGCTCTGCCTTCTCGATCCGGCCATCAGTCGAAGCACGCGCCCAATACCGAGTCGTTTTACCGCCAAAAGCCCAGCCCACCGCTGCAGGACAGCACACATGCGCTATTCCACATGCAGGTCATCTTCAACGAACGACTCTGACAGAGAACTGTGCAGCACGCAGAGAATTCCGCAGGGCGCACGACAGAGAGTCAGAAAACGAGTGGCTGACCGGTCCCACGATGTCCACCGCTCATTGCGCACCCCAGGCGTTTGCGTCCGTTGCCCGGGTCGCCGACGAGTGAACCAACCGACCGCCTATTAAAGACGTGCAGGTGCCCGCATCTCTTGTTGATTCTTCTCTTTTTTGAAGACACCCTCTTCCGAGGATCAACCTCGAGAAACCCACCCAACGACATCCAACATGGCCCAGGCCTCGCCCTCGTGGCAGAGGCTGATGGGGCTCCTGTCGGTGCTGCTGGCCATGCTCCTCGGTCTCTCGGCCGAGAAGCAGGGTGCCGCCGCCGCCGGATGCCCCGCCGAGATTGTCTCGGTACCGGACAACACCTGGTCCGTCGACTTTGACAACAGGACCGACGTCTCTGAGAGTGCGTTTTCCATCCTCAGTTTCAACATCCTGACACCATCGTGTTAACATCTTTCCAGCCCAGAGAGAGAGCTCGTACGTCGAGAGCCTGAGGGAGGAGTTTGAGAAGCTCGAGGCGACCGGCCTTACTGGCACGGGCGCCGAATCCAGCTTCGAAGACTTCACCGTCAAGATCCCGGCCTCCTGCCTCAACGGCCCCGCCGCCAAGAACAAGCACGCTCCGCTCGAGCTCCCCGTCAGTCTCGCCAGTCTGCATCTGCGGACCGTCCAGACGTGGGCCAGCTACATGTAACCACGGCGGCGGTTTGCGCAACCCACCAAACCGCCGACACGCGAAGATTACAAAATCATTGCCGTGTTGGAATTTCCACAAAGAAGAGAAACATCCGACACACCCTACTATTTATCACGTGGGGTGTGCTGAGCGTAACAAGCAAGTTTACGCTGAGCAAGTCCCCGAGCCCAGCCGCAATCGACGCGGTCTCACTCACTTCAACGACATTTACGACATGAAACAATTAACGAAACGAAATGAACAACCAAAAAAATGATGAAAACGGAAACGAAAGTCCTCTCGTCTCACGGAGACTGAGAAGTACGATGAAACGACTCTTCTATGTCTACGATACCTACTTCTTTCCTCTTCAATGAGGTTACGGCCACTTGGCCCTTTGAATACAAATCTCATATGTCCCTCTAAAAGAATGCTGTGCGCCCGTGGAATTGTGATGCCTTGTATTTCGTGAACAGTCTTTGATTTGATCCATCAACCCTTTGACATGTAAAATGCTGAGCTTGGTCAGCAGAATGCCGTACTCACGGTTCATGATGATCGCATCTCACCATGTCGTTGTCTGATGGTTTGCTGAGGCAGCCGCATTTTTGTGAACAGTGGTGGCCACGCGGCGTACTAATCATACCTATTTTACACAAAGACTAGGCAATGTTTGCCGTCCATTGGTATTCCCTATGCCAAACAACGTAGCAAAGCTCATACGAACTCAGACTAAGACCTCCGTGGTTTCCGGCTGAAATCTAGAAGGTCTCCTGGGCAAGGTTGACCCCCGGTCATGGGGATCATATAAGTGTAGAAGTCAACCATTGGAACCATTCCTCGTGGTTGACTTGCCTTTCCTTGTCTATTTCGGCAACTTGGGAGACTTAAACTTTCTGTCTTAATCAAGAGTTCCCCACATGGCGAAGATTATCGTTTTACGGGAGTCATCAACAGTCCGTTACTTCGAGTCAGTGAACAGTGCTGGAAGTCCATAACAGTCTTAGACAGAATTGTATTAGCAGAAGAATAAGAAGCGGCTGCGTAACTGTTTTAGCTTTCTTCAGGTTTCCTACACTCTCACCCAAAAACTTTGACCGTTATCTCCATTCGTTATTTCAACATCCAGACTTTGCAATCAATTTGCTCGTTAACTTTAGAAATGCATTTTGCAAACGTGGCTGCTTTTGTGGTGCTCTTGGTGGCACCGCTCGTGTCTGCTGATAATTGCCAAGATCGGATCTACCCCTGCGTAAGTGAAATGGTAAATCTTGCTCACCCAACGACTAACGAGTGCCATCCAGTCCCCTCTATCTGCCTGCAACAACCTCTTGAGTGGGAAGCAGATCTGTGCTACAACTGAGAGAGTCGACGGTGGCTGCCTCCAAACCATCACAGGTGTCAATCAAGGCGCCGTCCGTGTACGTTTAGCTATGCGCTTTCCATTCTGGCCATCATCTAACTTCCCGTGAAAGTGTCACTGCTGCCCCAAGTAAAGCAGTCTTGCAAACGCCTTTCTACTTTGTGTTAACACTGAGTGGGAACAGTTGAGCTTTGGGGTCTTATGGCTGCGTAGCAGATGAAGGCCAATCCTACCAAGAAGTGTATAGAAATGTTACGGCATGCGGACGAGACAACATATACCCATAGAACATTGCATAGTAGAGACGTGGTTTATAACTCTACAGCTGAGCTTTACTTCAAAATAACCTCTTTCCAAACCGGACCCGGCGCAAAACTCGTGCCAAGAGCCCATTCTCGAATGTGCCCGATCCCGCGTCTTTCTGCGTAATCACCGTCCCGCTTGACTAGTATGACATTGTAATCGGTATCAGACTGACGGGTTTGAGGATGAGGAGTCGACACAGCTTCTGATAGAAGGAGTATCTCATATGGCCCTACGTGCTCGAAGCTGGGCATCTCCTCGATGCTGTCTACCGTCAATTCCCCACAAATCTGACCATCTGCCCCTCGAAGATCACCCTCAGACCAGGAAATACTTCTTGAGAATTCCAGAAAGATGGCCAACGTCCAAAGCTGCAGAACAGAGTATCCGGGTGTTAGGGTTGGCGATAAGGACGGTGTAGTGCGAAAAGCGTCCGAGCCACGAGGGAGCCGGCTTTTGAAGCGCTCCCGATAGCGAGGTCCGCTTGGCGAGTTGCGCAAAGGATCAGTGAGGAGTCTCAACTCTCCATCGAGTCCTCTTTCATACCACAGTATCCAGCACTTCTGCTTAAGCCAGTGATGAAGTTGGTAAAAGACATGTCCTTGGCTCGGACGAACACGACTAGCACCCACCCAGCCCGACCACGACCAGCTGGGAAACCCTTCCCGGCGCCTCCTCGCAGTCATCGAGGTGAAGCCGGCTCCGAAAAGCAAAAAGAAGTCGATGGCCTGGACTGGAGTACCTTCGATGAACCGGATGTTCCCCTTCTCTGTTGCGCGGCGCATGATCCCCTCGACGGCTCGCAGGACATCTCTTTGATCCGTGAGAGCGCGGCCAGAGTAGCGGCTGACGATATCTTCCCAGTCGCGCACTGGGTCCTTGAGCAGGAACGCTTGGGGCGGGGACCATGGCTCCTCCCACTCGTGTCTCTTCTTGGCGACTGGCTGGTCTAAGCATGCCTCGCTGAACTCGTCGCTCCCGCACCGAAAGAAGACTTTATTGTCGACGAAGCAGAGTGCTCGTTGACAAAGAGCTTGCTCTTGAAACCTGCCTCTGTTTATCAGTCTTTGAAACGAAGTCAGAGTAGGTATGCCTTACGTCCACCCTCTAGTCTGGTAGACCGTTGCTGCAAGAGCCCAGTCGAGTGGCGTGTACAGCCCCAAGCGTGTCTTGTCTGTAATTCGCATGGCGTGTTGCGGGGCCCGCGTTCCCGTCACTGCTGGCAGACCGTAATTCGCATGATTTCCACAGGCGGCGATGACTGTAAGCCACGACCGTTCAAAGACGTTGTCCATTACAGCTGTGCCCCTTCTTAGGTCTTCTGGGTCGTCCTGCACGAGACAAAGAAGGTCGACCCAAACATAGCGAAGCCCGAGGAGCTTTACTAATTTCATGGTATTCAGGATCGTGAGCGACAGTCTGTCGCGTATTTGAAAGACCGAGCCAGGTTGCCGCAGTCGCCCAAGAGTTGACTTGGTGAGTCTGAAGCTGGAAACTCCGCCCCAAACGTAGCTGAGTGCAACATACTTGTATGGGCGAATATCTGACACCTCGATCAAGCTGTCGCTCTCGAGATCAACGAGTCTGAGAACTTGAAGTCTTGGGAAAGTTGACTTGAAGCCTTGATAGTTATGGGCTCTGCATCTGGTGATGGGATGCGTTGTAGTACACGTCTCGATCCATTGCAGGATCCTCGAAATCTCAACCTTGGACTTGATCGTCGGCAACAGGAAGTGAGCGCTACTCGCAACTTGTGTGGTTTCGGGCGACTCTGACACGAAACAGACGAATTGGCCTGTAGCGGTATTCGTTGAGTCATTGATGCTGTATGCGCCGCGATGCCCGGGCTCCGCGTCATCTTTCCAGACGAGGGCAAACGTCTCGTCGTCTCCTTGCGGAACGGAGCCGGGCGAGAGCCGGTGAGCCTCGAAAATGGCATGTGCCACGAGTTGGCAGAGAGGACAGGGGCTTGTGCTGATATGGGACCATGAGCCGAGCAGGAAGAAGGGAATGGCGCCCTCGGAAGAGATGACTGAGCGAAGATCATCGTAAGTGAGGGGCACCTTGCCGCAGTGCAGACAAAGCGGAGGCGGGGCAGCAGAAGACATGTCAGTTTGACGCAGCACTATTCAATAGAAGGCAGTAATCCGTACAGCACAAAATTCCCGAGCCTGGTTGCGGCAGAGCTGTTTAGGCGTGCCGTGTGCATTCATCCTGCATACCTACATACGGGCGCTTGAATCGGTTCAGGGGTTCAGAACCGATAAGCGGTTCAGCTGCTGCGACCGCCCCGCCAGACCGCTTCAGGCGGCGTCTAACGCTAGAACGCCGCTACAAAGACCCAGCTCGCCCCCAGCTACAACATTCTCCTCTTCACAAACAACAAAGCATCGTCATCCGTCTTCTGCTGACGCGAACGATTGAACTCTCAATAGAGAAGGCGACTCATCTTATTCGTGTTTTACGACTTTGGAGCGCTACAGCACACGACGAGAAGAACCACCAGCAGCTCCCCAAGCGAGCGCGAGCATTGAAACCTAACGCAGATGTGCTAGCAAACTTGGGTAGTGAATTCTGCCCGAGCATCCAACAAGAGTTCTTCTCGAGTACACATGCCCTGATGGTCTAGCGGTATGATTCTCCCTTAGGGTTGTCTTTGACATCTCAACTTGGGAGAGGTCCCAGGTTCGATCCCTGGTTAGGGCCCATTACCTTTGCTCTTTTTGATGATTGATAATAAGTTTCATTCTCAAAGCCTCAAGAAGGTCTGGTCTATTGTTTTGTATTTTAGTGCTGTCGTATTGCTGCAAGCCACCGCCTCTACCCAGCTTCCTGCCGTAATCCATCAGTCATTCACAGGCCAACATAGAAAATAGACTTGAGTTTTACCCGCACATATTAGGGCCACGCAATGCAACGTATCTTCCAAAATTGCCATTCAACCCAAAGTCTGGACTTCTAGGCAATACACTGTAAACACATGTGTACACTATTAAAGGCTGGGACATGGATGAGAATTTCCTAATTATCTCCAATAGGAACAGCACCTTCATAACATCACCCAGCAACTGCGCATTGTAATTCGGATGATGAGCTAAGATTGAAAAGATCTCTAAAAAGTCAAAACTCGACCCAAGAAAAAAGAAAAGCAAATGCAAAGAAGAACAGTGCCGTCAACTAGCTAATACATGAATCGGAACGGTGGGCTCAGCAAAACAACAAATCCATATGCGGATCTATGATTCCCGCGCAAAAACGGCCAATGCCATGCGAGATTTTTAATTGCCGCCCTTGTTACCGCCGTTGTTGCCGCCTCCCTGGCCACCTCCCTGGCCGCCACCGCCGTTGTTGTTGTTGTTGTTGTTCCCGGGGAAGCCTGGGATGTTGCCGAACTGGCCGTTGTTTCCGACACCGTTCGGGCAGATCTGGCCGGCGGACTGTGCGGCCGCGAGCAGGTCGTTTTGGCTCTTGCAGTTGTTGCTGACACAGGTGACGAGGGAGTTCACGTCGGCCTTCTGGCAGTAGCAGTCCTTGATGTTGTCTCGTGTGCAGCCGGCCTTCTGGAGGCCGTCGTTGAGGCAGCCGTTGGCGCAGTCAGGCAGCTTGATGTCGTCGGCGACAGCGAGGCCGGCGGCGACGGCGAGGATGGCGAGGATGGAAGTCTTCATTTTGAAATTTGGGGGTTGTTTTGGTGGAATAGAGATGTTGCAGATGGTTTGTGTGGTGAGAGATTTGCGATGAAAGCTTCCTGAGTGATGTTTGAGTGTGATGATGATGAGCTGGAAGAGAGTTGGTAAGTCGGGTGTAACGGCAGGATTATATATCTGACCTGACAACCGAGCCAAGAGAGGCCTTACGAAGGACGTCTTCACAGCTTATTCCCCCTGACGTCAAAGTCAACATAGCCATGATCTTTTCTCAGCAACAAACGCAGTGCAGCGCCTCGCCGATTGGGCATCTCATCAGCGGTCCGCGTAATACCGTCGACTAGGTTTGACAGAAATGCCAGTGCACGAGGCGCGTGGGCGGCAAACCTTGACATCTCGGACGCTTACACGGCCAAACCGAGAATAGTTCCATGACGAGCAAGAGATTTCTCTCGCGAACTCTGTTGCCTTTCCATACTTTCTTCCACGGCCAATCACCCACCTCAGGCTGCGTGTCCGACCTCCGGGGCACCACCGCCGCACCCAATCGCGCGCCACCCCGTCCCGTCAAGCCGTTCAAGCCGTTCGTGTCACACCGCGTCCCCGAGGTGGGAGTGGCTTCTCGCACGTCATGGGATGAGTAGTTCCTCCCGTCGCTCGGACGGTGGAAGTCTGTCAGCTTTGAGCCGCAGCGATGGGCTGTGCGGTGTACGCGGTGTTTGGCCACATGGGGAATTTGGGGGCTGTTCAGATCATAGCGAACTGACCGAGCACTTGCGTCTTTCCAACGGCGATGCATCGCCGTTTGGATCATCATCTTGATTTTTGTTCCTTTCATCTTCGATCGCGCGCAGCATTTGGAATGTTTTGTTTATTGAGAATGGCTGCCTTCTCCGCCGGCGACATCAGATGTTTGTTAGGTGTCGTGGGGGCGTGAGGACGCTCGGGACTCGTCTGCGCCTGTTCACGGACGACCAGATGACACAATCTTCGGCGTCACTCTACGTCGGCTGCCGACTTTCTGTCTTCCTTGACGTCCCAAATCGGTCTTTTTTCTGTTCTCTCGCCGACCTTAATCATTGAACTCCCCCGATTTTGACGGGCTCGGTCGATGAGAACTGCGTACGGCATAAATATAGGTCTAGGTGTTTGTCGGCCACAGACAATATCACAATATGTAGATCGAGAGCCCACGAGGTTCAAGAATTCCGTCGATAAAAGTGATTTCCAGAAACATGCCAAGACGGCGGCGGATGTGAGCCCCGGAGCCGACGTTCGTACTCGCCTACACGCGGCCCGACGTGTTCCTCTAATTCCTCTCAAGATCAGCCAAACTTTGGGAAGAAGAACTTTTCAACAATTGACGTCGAGAAGACGAGATACCAAAACTTTTCTTTTCTGTTTCGCGTTGCAGACTGTTTTCATGGCTGGATCGACACGACGCGATGGAAGTCATTGAGGTTTGACGCGTTGGAAACCCTTACATCACACCAAACGTCGGTCCCAGGCTTGATTAAATGATCTCATCGCCAGCAGCAGTATAGTAGCATGCAAGGAGGTTGTTTGTTGCAGTACTTATCGTAGAGTATCTGTGTTCTCAAAAGATGAACAGAGGTGAACGGCCTTAGATATACAGAGAATGGTCTGATAGATACTCTGTCTAGATGGCAATGAGTAGCTACACTCCTGGCTTACGCCTTGCAGCAGATGGCAAGCTAACGCCCAGCATGTCTATTCCGATCTTGGTGAACACTCTTCGGGGGGTAGCTTTACGCTTATGTCTTTTCGTGAGTTTATCATGGTAGCTAAGAGCCACTTCGAAACCTCTTGAAGAATGAATGCTGCATTACAATCATCCCAACAGCTGTCGCCGGTCTTCATTGTGACATCGCGCAGGCAATCTGCAAGTACTCGCGTACCCAGCAAGTGCAAAGGTTAAGCATCCTTGAGTTGACAACTTTGTCATTGTGTTGGAGACTTTGTGGTCCCGAGGTAGCCACCTGTGCCAGCCCACACCCTAGATAGGCGATGTTACCCTGTGTTGGTTTGCTTCGGAAGAGATATCACATCCAGCCAATGAACACACGCAAAATTGGTGAAATATGCGGGAATGCCCGTACGGATGCGTTCCCCTAGTTGTGCCGCCGACCTACATTCCCTAATAGTTTAAACGCATGCCGGCTACCCTGTCCTGACCCTCGCGTTGGACTCCACTGTGTTGCATTGTTCCTCGGCTCACGATGGCATCCTTCGTATCGTCAGTTTCCTGAAAGCAGTTTGCGCAGCGCGACTTTTTTGCCCAGGAGACGAAGAAAACTTACTTGAATGGCGAAAGCACAATCACATATCATCTTCTCAACTGCCAGAAGCAAAGGGTCTCAAATAACCTGGCAACGAGTCCAGCTTCCGATATATCTGCCCCCATAGATGGGGCATCTTCCATGCAACCCCTCTGCAAGTCCCGCCGTGCATGCGTCAATCATTGCCTCTTGCCGTCTCCATCTCCGGACAAGATGCCGGGCACGCGGCGGGGAGGTTCACCGCGCAGGAGGCCAATAGCGGCCTGCTTATTAGAGTCACCCTTGCCGGACCCTTGGCGGGAGGAAGAATAAAGGAAACGAGCTCCCTCGGGGAGGCCTTTGTCACGGTGCCCTTCATCGTCGTGCTTGGCGTCATTCACAAAGATGGCAGTACTCAATCTATCCGTGGGCGGGAGCCCTGCGGAGATTGGGCTTCGCGCCGTCCTGCTGCTCGTAATTTTCAGTGTCGGCTACACTTTGGTGCAACTAGTGCAAGTACGGCTCCTGTTCTGGAGACTGAAGAGACAGGGCGTCGTAAGTTGAACACCCGAAAGTCGCTTACCAGGAACAGCACTGATAGCCTCACAGCCAATGATGCCCCATTCCCTACTCTTCGGGCACATACCTGTCATCACAAAAATCACATCCGGCCTGCCCAAGGATATTCACACAAACTACTTCTCCCAGCTCATCTACCAGAACTGGCCGACCCTCTTCCCCGGTCGCAAAACGTGCCCGCCCATCATATACGTCGACCTTTGGCCCATGGGCCCGCCCATGTGCTTCACCATCGAGCCGGAGGTCGCTTGGCAGACCGGCAGCGCAGATCTTCCGCGGGCGCACAAGGAATTCGTCAAACCGCTGACGGAGAATCTAGATATTGCGAGCCTGGAGGGCGCCGAGTGGAAGGTCTGGCGCGCGCGGTTCAACCCGGCCTTCAGCCCGAAGAACATTGTCTCGCTCGTCCCGGGCATCATCAAGGACGTCGAGACGTTTGCGGGCATCTTTCGGAAAAATGCTGGCAAGGACGGGAAATGGGGCGAGGTGTTTACGCTCGAGGACCTGGCCACGAATTTGACGATGGACGTGATCGGGCGCGCGGCGCTGGGGATCGAGCTCCACGAGCAGACTGATGGCCCGAGCAAGTTGAAGGTCGCGCTGATGGACCAAATTGCGCAGTGCCGGCTGCGGTTCAGCATTATCGACAAGATCTGGAGCGTCGACCCCGTCCGTCAGTGGAGGATTGCCAGGAACAAGGCTGCGCTGCGTGACGAGCTTTACCAACCCATCATGAGATGTCTCGAGCGCAAGGGCGACGGAGAATCAAAGACGCTGGTGGACCAGGCGATGAAGCCTCTCAAGGGCTTAATTGCCGAGAAGGCGCTCCCACCTGATGAGGGCTTCATCGAAAGTGTCATGGCACAGCTTAAGATCTTCATGTTTGCAGGCCATGATACGACGGCGACAGTGATCTGTTGGACGATACACGTCTTGGCCAAGCACCCAGCGATCCTCGACAAGGTGCGAGCTGAGCATGACGAGGTTTTTGGCAAGGATCCTTCAAAGTTGAAGGAAAGACTAATGGAATCGCCGCATCTCCTGAACTCGCTGCCGTACACGGCTGGCGTGATCAAGGAGACTATGAGGCTGTATCCCGTCATCCCGCCCCTTAGAAAAGGCAGCCCTGATTACCAGATCAAGGACAAGGAAACCGGCATGGCGCTGCCGACTGAGCACTTTGACCTCTGGGACGGCATTCGCTCGACGTCTCGCGAGGAAAAGGTGTGGCCTCGTGCCGAGGAGGTCATCCCGGAGCGCTGGTTGACCACGAACCCGGACGATCCGCTGTACCCCACGAAAGGCGCCTGGCGGGGGTTCGGAAACGGTCCTCGTGTCTGCATTGGGCTGGAGCTCGCCAACACGGAGGTCAGAATGGCTGTGGCGTTCTTGGCGAGGGAGTTCGACATTGACTGTGCTTGGGACGAGTGGGATGCCGCGAGGTAAGTTTTCAAGCATCTCCAAGGCGCTCGTAAGAACGATGGCTGACAGACTGTGCGTGCAGAAACTACACTGGCCCCAAGGAAGTGATGGAAGGTCATCGGTGCTACCAGAACGGCACTGGTACGGCAAAGGCCAAGGAAGGCATGCCGATCCATGTGCGACTGCGAAACACGGGGAGGTGAAAGGTGGTTGAGAAAGAGTTTGGGTGGACGTAGGTGGACGTCAACATGGACCTCGGGACGGGGCCGAGGGCAGGAGACCGGAGCCGCGGGGCCCCGATGTCTGCCACTTCTGCTGAAAGAGGCAAGGACTTGCAATCGTCCGTATCTCATCGACGCATTGGAGCAGCAGAAGTGAATAAGTAGCCAATGCCCAAGAAGTATTGGAGAGGCTTCGATCCCCAGAGGCCCAGAGGCAGTCGGCCGCGGCAACATGCCCGTTTTCTGTTGATTGACACCGGCGGAGTGGATACAAGCTTTCAGCTGGTGGTTGTATGCGCCGACTTTGACGTTGGCGGACGGGCAATACCGGACGATCTATAGTTACTCAATCGGGACTTCCGCGAGATTGACTCCCTAATCTGATGAATAGCGTAAGCCCGAGGTCCTCCGCGTGATGCACCGGAAATTCTGCCCGATCATGAGAGGTAGACTCAGTCTAGAACCGCAGCAGCAGTTGGACCGGCAGCCGGCGACAACGTAGCACCCGTGTGGCTACCCGTAGACTTGGTACGGAGGTCCGAACTCCTGACCGGGTTTTGAGTTTCTCGTAGACCACAACCATGAACGTCGCGCGCGCGTCGTGTCTCGCGCGGGATTATTGGGGTTTCCTTGGCTGTCGAGATGGTCGTTCGCGATAGTTGACAAGTCTGTACCAGCAGAGGGGTGTTTCGGAGATAAGCTCATGTCCAGACAGCGGGAAGCTTCCACGACAGATGTCATGGGCCCGCATCTGCTCGTATATCGCGGGCTGTCATTTGCGTGAGGGGCATTAGAATTCGCGATGGATGTGATGGGACGAAAGCGAAGGTGTCGTGAAGGTGTCGTGAAGGTGTCGTGGAGATTAAGAATCTTGAGATGGCACTGAATGGAAGCAGAACCCAGCCGAGGGAAACGAAGTCTTACATAATACGCGCTAGTCCTCGCTTGATCTCCACTAAGGCACGCTAGGCGGAGTAACCTCCCCCCCGACTCATCCGATTGGCCCGCTCGCGAATGCCCCGCCCTGGAGCGGGGTTCCTGCTGGTCGTTCCTGGGGAGGTAGGGGGGCATTCGGGGCTTATCGTCAGCGACCGGCGACTGCTCCTGCTGCTTTTTTTGTTAGCGGCCACTTGCGATTGGGATCTCGACTCTGCGCCTCCTCACCTCCTGAAACATTCTGCCCGCCTACACTAACCTCACTTCATCTACACTTACGCACCTACGATTGTTATCGACATTGGATCGAGTTGAAGTCCGTCCGCCCATCATGTCGCTGGCGCACTACTTATGAGGCCCATTCCCTGGAGCCTGCAAAGCCTGCTGCCAAATATCTGTCTCTCGATAGGTCGCCTCGGATCTTGACCAAACCACCGGCGTCGGCGTCTACGTCTCTCAGGGCGTTGCGTACCTCGGCCTCCCTCACCTGCCTTACCTGTCTCATACAACAACCTTTCACACACAGGAGATTGTCACTCGCACAGGGTGTCACAGCACTCGCACCTACCTATTGTCATCCAAGGGTACTTGCTCTCCTCCTCTCAATGGCGAGGCATGGGCTATCAAAGGTGAAGACGGGATGTATCACCTGCAAGTAAGGGGGTCCTTTGACTGTTCATCCCCACAGGCCTGGCCAATGTGCTAATAAAACCTCAGGATCCGCAGAGTCAAGTGCGATGAGGCCCGCCCGGCGTGTAACCGCTGCGTCAGCACCGGCAGGAAGTGTGATGGCTACGTCGCCCCTCCCAATGGCACATACTCGTGGGCTCAGCTGCTCCGTGTCTGCCCACCGCCGACCCAGAACGCCTCCGAGTCAGAGCTCCGCGCATTGAGCTTCTTTCGCGGCGTCGTGGCCCCAGTCCTCGCCGGGCCGCTGGACAACTACTTCTGGACCCATCTCGCCACCCAGCTGTCTCACCAGGAGCAGGCCGCAAAGTACGCCGTCCTGACCATCAGCTCGTTGTATGAGAAGTTCAAGGAGAACCCCATGGACCGGCTCGCTGGGGAGAAGAACCTCTTTGCCGTGTCAAACTACAACGAGGCTATCCGGCATCTAAGGACGACGGACAACCCGGAAACGGTGCTGTTTGTATGTCTGCTTTTCGTCTGCGTCGACATGCTGCGTGGAGAATGCAAGGGCGCCATCGAACACTGCCGGCACGGCATCAACATCCTGAATGCGTCCCGCTCCAAGTCCAAGTTCATCCGTGACCACCTAGAACCCGCCTTCTGCCGTCTCGGTGTGTTCCCTTTCTTCTTCGGCGTCCGGCCCGAGACGTTCCCGGCGATGGAGATCGGGAAGCCCGTCCCGCACGCGCCGTACAAGACGCTCGCCGAGGCCCAGGCCGCCCTGGACCCTCTACTTGTTCGTACCATCCGCTTCGTGAGGACCGCCGACGAGTACCGACTGGGAGATGAAACGAGCCCCAAGCCCGGGCCGTTGGTCATGCAGGACCGTAAGGAACTTGACGAGGCACTGGACAGCTGGGACGCCGCGTTCCGTCTCTACCGGGGCGAGAAGGCCGCCTTGAACGCAGATTGCATGTCTGAACGGGATGTTCTCATCATACAGCTGCTCGAAATGAAATGGATCGTCGGCAAGATCTGGATTGACACGTGTCTATCGCGGGGCGAGACGATATTCGACCTGCATCTCGACAAGTTCCAGAGGATCATTGACATTGCGCACGAGACGGACATCCTGCTCCGCTCGTCGCACGAGAAGCACCCGCGCGCCAAGTTCACCTTCGAGATGGGCTTCGCGCCGCTGCTGGGTTTCGTAGTCGTCAAGTGCAGGTCACTGCGCCTGCGAGTCGCCGCGCTGAAGCTGGTGAGGACGATATCACATGAGCGGGAGAGTTTATGGGACAACAGCACCCTATTATCGCTCGGTAGAGTGCTCTTGAAGGTCGAGAACGATGTGCATTTGCGCTGCGACGATGACCTGGAAGACATTGTCGACGACGGCACGCTCCCACCGGAAGGCATGCGGATCAAGGACTCGGCGATGCAGAAAGAGGCGCGCATCGTGCCCGGGAGCGACGGCAGCGTGACGGTCTGGAAGAAGGTCGCCCTCTTGATGAGGGAGCTCGACGGGCCCATCACGATACGCGAGGAGTGGTTTGAGGTTCCCTTTAGACGCAAGCCCTGAAATAACTATTTACAGTCGCACCCTTGTTTTTGGCGTCTTCCGCGACATGTCCCTGTCTGTGCCTCAACCCGCACGAGTGCTTACGCCACCCCTGCGAATCCTTCCGCGGGCGGTATCAATTATCAACATCTAGTGCCGTGTGCTGCGATTGGTCGGCTCGCTATTTTATGTAAAGAACGCGATTGAAGTGGCTGTGCATCGCCAGGCATTCTTGACAATATCATCGGTTTCGATCTCAACAGGTTTCTTTAAATATGAGCGGACGCCGCGAAGATGTTGATGATGGGACAGACAACTATCGCTCTCAGGATTTTTTGCCATCTCATCTTTGACTCCAATCGCCATGTCCCTCACCTGGATCATCCTGGCCCTAGCCGCTTCAGCCGCAGCTCTGCCATCCGGTCCCTCGCCCACGCCGACGAACACCCAACTACTTCAACGATCAGTAATCACCTCTTCGACGGTTTCTGCGGTTCCCACCGGCGACTTCATCACCACCAAGTTCATCACCATTCCCGGCGTTACAGACAGCCACGTCACAGTGCCCGCCAAGACCATCACCCTCGCCCTTCCGACCTGCGTCCAGACCATCGAGCCGGACGCCAATGGTTACGTGCCCCCGGGGAGTTGCGGCGCCCTCTGGAACTACTACCCAAGCTTCGCGGCGGCTATCGCATTTGCCGTGGTGTTTGGTGTTTTGACTGCCGTTCACATCTGGCAAGCGGCTAGGTACAAGAAGGTGCGTAAGTCTGCCTTGCATACATTCTCACGGCTCCGACTAATGTTAGGACAGAGATGGTGCTGGGTCATCATCATGGCGAGCATCTGGGAAACCCTCGCCTTCGTCTTTCGCTCTCTAAGCACACGGTACCAGCAGAATAGCGGCATCTACCTCATCTTCCAAATCTTCATCTTGCTCGCACCACTGTGTTAGTCTCCTCTCTCCATGCTATCGGCCAGCACTAATAATCACCAGGGGTCAACGCCTTCGCATACATGACCCTCGGCCGGATGATCCACTTTTTCCACCCCTCGCGCTCCCTCCTACGCGTCCCCGCTACCTTCTTCGCCGCCCTCTTCGTCGCCCTCGACGTTGTCTCTTTCATCATCCAGCTCGTCGGCGGCAGCATGGCCGGCCCGACTGCCCCGCCGGAGGAACAAATGCGCGCGATACATATCTACATGGGCGGCATTGGCCTCCAAGAGGTCTTCATCCTCGCTTTTGTGGGGTTGGCGCTCATTTTCCAGCGGGACATGCGACGGGCGGAGAAGCTTCACAACGGACGGGAAGGGTGGAGGCCGCTGGTGTGGGCGCTGTACTTTTCACTGGGCAGCATTACCGTGCGCATCGTGTACCGGCTCGTCGAGTTTTCCTCTGGGAATGGGGTGGATAATCAGCTCATCACGCGCGAGGGGTACTTTTATGCGTTGGAGGCGGTGCCGATGGTATTGGCTATTGGCGTGTTCAATGTCGTGCATCCAGGGGCGAGGATGGACGGGCCTGGGGCTGAGATGCCGGGGTTGTTCGCCACGATCAAGGAAGCCTTTAGAACGAGGCCAGGGAGATTTTTATTGAAGGACTTGGGCGAGGAACAGGAGCTTACGAAAAGATCTCCGAGTCCGCGAACGAGTTGAGGCTGGGGCGCGTCGGGTGGTGGGCCGAGACGCGGGGAGATGCCGGCGGCTGCTGCACCCCGCAATCCAGGGTCCAAGCCGGCATCGGCACCGATGCGAGTGTGAAGTTTGATTTTCCAGGTATTGTTTTGCTATTTATTTGACAGCTGTCAGGAAGTACTTCTATTATCTTTCTTCAGGCTTTACATCTCGAAATAGAATCATCAAACCCCAGGTCTTTGCTTAAATCCTCCGTTCAACAGAAGGCTACCATCAACCCCGAATCCCTGCCACCTTCTTATCAGGATCCCTCCGCCTCCAAATCGGACCCAAGTGCGGAGATAAAAAGATAATGGCCACCACTTTACACACCCGCTTCACTCATTCCCCCAAACGACACACCATGCTTCGCGGAAGCTGAGCAGCGCTACGCACGCCTCTCACTACAATGTCCTTCCTCCCGGCGACACATGTACTCAATCCACCCGCCCATGGATCCCGCCTCCGCAGCCGCCCTCCGCCGCCGGCGCCGGCGTAGAGTCCCCGACGCAGACCGCAAACGCGCCCCGCGCGCCTGCGACCGCTGCAAGGCCCGCAAGAACAAGTGCGTCGAGACGCCCTCCGGCACTTGTGTCCGTTGTCTGCAGGGTTCGCATCCGTGCCGCTTCGAGCGGGAGCGCAGTCCCGAGGACGGTGTCGTCCCGGTACCTGGCAGTGGCACTCACACTCACACCAACACCGTCGCAGCGCATAACGAGACAACAACGGACCTCAAAGACGACGTCGACTTCTCCCCCACCGCCGGCGCGCCCCCCAGCGAAGCCTTCATGTGGCCGCGCTTCCTCACCCGCCTCCGCTCCGCCTTCTGCCTGGACACCCACGCCGCGCCCGCATCCCCCGACGACACCTCGCACCCCCAAGCCCGCCCGCCGCCGCCGCCCGCAGACTCCCAGTCCCCCGCCGAGCTGCGCCGCGTGCGCAAGGCCGTCCGCGACTTTCCCCCACGCGGCGTCGCCGAGTTCCTGCTCGAGGTGTGCATCACCTACGGGACGGACCTGTTCTTCTACTTCGACCAGGCGCAGCTCACCGCCGAGCTGGGCGCGTTCTACAGCGATGAAGGTTGTAGGCTGCGCAGCGACACGGGGTTTGTGTGTTTTGTGCTCGCGGTGTTTGCGCTGGGAAGCCACTGGACGAGTCTGGCGCGCCCGGCGGAGGAGGATGAGCGGGTGGTGGGGAAGGAGGAGGATCCGGGACGGATATTCTACGACCAGGCGAGGATACTGATGGCGGATCTGATTGACCGGCCGTGTTTGCGGTCGGTGCAGGCGGCGTATGTGCTGGGCGTGTACCTCATGCCGGCGAGCGCGATTAGTGCGTCGTATGTGTACATGGGGTTGGCGTTGCGGAAGGCGCTAGCGATTGGGCTGCATCTGGAGCCGGATGAGCCCGGGTTGAGCGAGGATGAGAAGGAGATGAGACGGAGGCTGTGGTGGTCTGTTTATTCGTTGGAGAGGACTGTGACGATTAAGTTGAACAGGCCGAGGTCGATTAGCCAGGATATCATCACGGCCCGCCTCCCTCGTCCGGTACCTCGCGACGCCGAGCAGAAGTTTGACAATGTACAGCATCAGATTTTGTATGCTCAGCTGGTGCGCATTATCGACAAGCTATCCGAGCCAGCGTAAGTCCCCTTCCTCCTGGGATTCACATCAACTGATGATGAAGCAGTGCCTGGTCGACAAACTCCCCCACAAACCCCGTCTCAACCTACGAAGAAGCCCTCAAATCCTGGAAACGCTCCCTCCCGCCCCCCCTCAAACTCCAAAACATCCACCCCAAATCCCCCGGCTACCGCGCCGTCTTCCACCTGCACCTGAACTACTACTTCGCCTGGATCGACATGGGCAAAGTCTCTGTGGTAACCGTCGTGCGCGCCCGCCTGCGCGCGCTCTTCTGCCCCCTGGACCCGCCCCCCGCCCCCAGCGCGGCCGTCGAGCAGGCCGCGGACGCCTGCATCCGCGCGGCGAAGAAGATGCTCGAGCTGTTCGAGGGGCTGAGCCGCAGCAGCAACATGGCGCGGTTCTCGTTCACGGACCTGCAGGGGTGCAGCATCGCGACGATCGTGGTGCTGCTGGCGGGGATTCTGCAGCGCGACGCGGGGTACGACGGGCGCGTGGCGTTTGGGCTGGATTGCTTGCGGAGGATGGCGGGCGGGGGGAACGCGACGGCGGGGATGGGGGTGAGGTTCGTGGAGGCGTTGAGGGGGATTACGGATGAGGCGAGGGGGCGGTTGTTGCGTGTGCAGAGAAGGGAGGAGAGGGTGCCGAGGGTGGAGGAGAGGATGGCGGGGTATGGGGACTGGGCAGAGTGGTTGGCGACTGCTGAGGTTGCTGAGAGTTCCGAGGAGGAGGAGGAGGATGGGGAGGGGTCTGGGGAGCAGTCTGCGGATGTTGATGATGGAGGACCGTCAGTGCCGGAGGTTGATTTGTCGGAGACGTGGGACGAGGCGGCGGCGTTGCAGCTTCAGGAGCTCTCGGCCTCGGGGTTTGAGATGCCCCTTGGAGGTGTTCATAACCCAGATCTGATGGCGTTGCCGGCGGTGGATGAAGGCTGGCTGGCTTCGTTTCCCTGGAGCGATGACCAGATGTATCTGATGGGGTTGACGGGGATGGACGTTCTCGACTTCACGGGGGGCCTGGAGTAGCTACAACAGAAACCAATAATATCAAAGTCATTGTCTCATTTCATTTTTGCCGCAAGTTAACTGACAACTCCATGTTTTCCATACACATTACATCAAAGCGCCGGCTTGATCCTAATCGGCACCGCCGAGTCCTCCTTAATCCCGTCCCATCTGCTCTTATACACCCTGCCCTCCTTAATCACCGCCGCAACCGACGCCTCCGGGTCATCAAAGATTCCCACGTCCTCCAGCGGGTTCGCATTCGCAATGATAATATCCGCCTCAAACCCAGCCTTGACCTGTCCCAGCGACGCCTCCCTGCCAAACATCCTCGCCGGGTTGATCGTCGCGCTCTGCAGCACCGCCAGCGCCGGGATCGCCTTCCCCCTCAACGAGAACTCGAAACTCTGCGCCGCGCCCAGCGGGCCCAGCAGATCCGTCCCGAAGCATATCGTCACGCCCGCCTCGTACGCCGTCTTCAGCGCCACCAGGCCCGCCGTCAGCACCTCCTCGTTCTTGACCCGCGACTCGGGCGGGAGGTAGCCCTTCCACTTCTCCGACGCCATCTGCGCGTACGTGATCAGCGTCGGGGTGAGGTACACGCCCTTCTGCGCCATCAGCTTCGCCGTCGGCACATCCACGAAGTTGCCGTGCTCGATGCCTCGCACCCCGTTGTCGATGCAATGCCGGATCGCCTTCGTCGTGTACGCGTGCGCGGTGACGTACGTCCCCGCGTTCGCTGCGCACTCCACTATCGCGCGGATCTCTGCGCCCGTGAACTGGAGGTGGTCGATCTTGTCCGTCGGGGATGATACGCCGCCGGAGCCCATGATCTTGATAAAGTCCGCGCCGGTGCGGATCTCCTCGCGCACCGCGGTCATGCACTCCGGCACGCCGTTGCACAACCGCCCCAAGCCGGTTGTCGACCCGCCGCAGCACTCGCTGTGATCATGCGGTCCGCGGCGAACATCCCCGTGTCCGCCGGCTTGAGACAGCGCATGGCCCGCGATGAACAGCCTCGGGCCGGGGAACACGCCGTCATTGATGGCCTCCTTCAGGGCGAGCAGGGCGCCGCCGCAGTCGCGGATGCTGGTGAAGCCGCGGTGCAGCATCTGGGCGCAGACGTACGGCTGGCGGAGCAGCGAGACCTCGTTGGGGTTGCTGAAGGCGGCGGCGAGGGAGTCGAAGCCCGGGACGGCCATGACGTGGACGTGGGAGTCGATGAGGCCCGGGCAGAGGAACTTGCCGGCGCAGTCGACTTCGGCGAAGCCATCGGCGACGGCGGCGGAGACGGTGGAGGGGTCGGAGGGGAGGATGGCGTCGATGAGGCCGTCTTTGAGGCGGACGGCGGCGTTGGGGTGGAGGGAGCCGTCGGTGACGTCGACGATGGTGGCGTTGGTGAGGATGTACCGCCGTGTTGGGGCTTTGAGCCAGGGCTTGAGGTCGGCTTCGGTGACCATTGTGAGGGTTTGGTGATTATTCCGTACGTGGTGTTGTTGGCTTAGAGGAGTCAGTCTCGAAGAAGTCGAATGAGGGGAAACATGAAAGGAATGGACTTGTGATTGAGGATGTGCAAATGCTCAGTCATCCGAACACACGCCCAATATTTCCAGAAAACAGAAATATTTATCTGATTGGCTTCATCCGATCGGTTAACGTCATCCCCCAACAACATTCATTCTGGTGAGAGAGACAATGCAACAGCAACGCATCGGAGATCAACACACAATCCTATCGTCGGGAACATGGTCTTTGCGAGCGACCAAGTTGCCGATACCCGGCGTCGGATATCTGCCACAACCATCGGCAACATGGCCCGCCCCACCCCGCGTATCACCCCTATCAACGCTAGCAGAGGTATCGCAGGAATCAGTCTTTGATTGATATGACTCTGATAATGCTTGCCTCTTGGGTGCGGGGAAAATAATGGGCACACTTACCCCGGGATTCGAGATATGCACCGGTGGAGCATTGTCAACCACGTTTTTTTCTTTCTCCTTCCCTCGTTTCTTCTTTTAAATGGCGGGCGGATCTGCAAGTTTGCGAAGGGGTGTTGGCCGCGGTCTTTGGATCTTCCACTGAGAACCACCCACCCCCCTCACGCGACTCAGGATGACTTCTTCCATTGAGACCAAGACGAATGATGGGCCGCAGCCGGAGGGCGCTGAGGAGAAGAATGGCCAGATTCTGGAGTTGAGCGAGTCTTACACCGAAGAAGAGGAGAAGGCGGTTCTGAGAAAGATTGACTGCACTATTCTGCCTATGGTTGGTTGACCCTTGCGTTGTGTCTTGTAACTGTGAATAATTGAGCTAACTTGGATCGACAGATGTGTGTGGTCTTCTTCCTGCAGTACCTGGACAAGCAAAGTCTCAGTTATGCAAGCGTAAGTTGGCTAGTCTTCCCCGCGATGAACTCCGTAACTGACCAACATAGGTCTTCGGCCTGATTACGGACTTGAACATGACCAGCACGCAGTATTCTTGGTGCTCATCTATCTTCTACGTCGGTAAATCAAACCAAAGCATTGCCTTCATAGGAAAATGTTGTCGCTGACACCTCAACGCGCAGGCCAATTGGTGTCTGAATATCCATTCATCTACCTCATGAGCAGGCTGCATTTGACCAAGTTCGTCGGAGTCACCGTGTAAGTCCACCCACAGTCTGCCACCATCGCCATCACTGACAAAACCCCGCTACCAGAGTCATCTGGGGCATTGTCTGCATGTGCCTCGCCGCTCCGCAGAACTACTCCGGCTTCGCCGCCGTCCGCTTCCTCCTCGGCTTCGCAGAGGGCGCCGTCTCGCCCGCCTTCATCACCATCACCAGCATCTGGTACCGCAAGAACGAGCACGCCCTGCGCACCGCGTAAGTCCAACCACCATCTCACCTCCAGCATATCCTTAAAAAGCTAACCTGGCTCTGCGCAGTCTCTGGATCACCATGAACGGCCTCGCCCAGATCTGCGGTTGCCTCCTGATGTACGGCATCGCCAAGAACACAGCCCTCTCCCTCGCGCCCTGGCGCACCCTCTTCCTCGTCTGCGGCGCCATCACCTCCGCCTCGGGCGTGATGTTCTACCTCTTCATGCCCAACGGCCCGAAGGACGCGTGGTTCCTCACCCCGCGCCAGAAGCAGGTGCTTTCCATGCGCATGGCCAAAGACCGCGAGGGCGGCGATAAGACGTCGTTCTCGCTGAGACAGCTCAAGGAGGCGATGTTGGATATTAAGACGTGGTTTGTGTTCTGGTTTGGTGTTTTGGTGACGATGCAGTCGCCCGTCTTGACGGTTAGTCATCTCCGCGAATATGACAAGTCGGTTTTGCCGTGTGCTAATTTTCGCGACATTAGTTTGCGTCCTTGGTCATCAACACCATCGGCTACAACAAATACGAAACCATGCTCTACACCGCCCCCTCCGGCGCCGTCCAGATCGGCATGCTATGGATCGGAGTCTGCGGCTGCATGATGTTCCCCAAACACCGCACCCTCGTCGCCCTCGTGCTCATCCTGCCCCCATTGGCAGGCAACATCCTCCTCCTGAAGCTGTCCACCGACGCCGGCTGGGGCATGATCGGAGCCTCCTGGCTGGTATGTAAACCTCCTCCCCATCCCTTCAATGCTAACGCGCATCGCTCTAGGCATCCTGCATCACCGCCGTTTGGTCGATCCTCCTCTCCCTCACGGCCTCCAACGTCAAGGGCAACACGAAGCGCGCCATCGTCAACGCGATGTTCTTCATCGGCTACTGCGCGGGCTGCATCGGCGCGCCGCAGCTGTGGACGGAGAAGCCGCGCTACTTCAAGGGCGTGGTCACGGCTATTGTGACATGGTGTTTGCTGTTCACTGTCATTGTGGCATACCGGTGGCTTTGTTCGAGGGACAATGCTGAGAGGGAGGCGGCGGCGAGCAGCGGCCAGGGTGCGGAGTATTCTGAGGATGTTGTGTTGGATGATGCGGGTGCGCCGGTGAATGATCTGACTGACAAGGAGGATAGACAGTTTAGATACAGCATCTGATGGGAGTCGAGGCAGTCTCGTACACATTTCGATTGTAGTAATAAGCAGATCTGCCAGAAAGCCACGGCAATACAGATAACATTGAATACACTCAGCTGAAGTTAATCCCCCCATCCACAATCTGCGTCTGCCCCGTCACATAATCACTATCCGGCCCCGCCAAAAAGCTCACAAACTTAGACACGTCCTCCGGCACGCTCGTCCTCTTCAGCGCAATCAAATCGTTCGTAAACTTCTTAATCGTGTCCCCCTTCTTCGCGCCCGTCTTCTCGCCCAGCTTCTCGTCAATCAGGTCCCACATCGCCGTGCCCACGATGCCCGGCGCGTACGCGTTCACCGTGATGTTGTGCTCCGCGTACTCCATCGCCGACGCCTGCGTCAGCCCGCGGACGGCCCACTTCGAGGCCGAGTAGTGCGAGAGCAGCGCGAAGGGGCGGAACCCGACAATCGAGGAACAACCGATGAGTTTGCCTGGGGAGGAGGGGGTGCAGTTGCCCTGGGCGATGAGTTGCTTGGCGGCGGTCTGGTAGCAGTTTTGCACGCCGAAGACGTTGACGCGGAACATGTTGAGGAAGTCTTCTTCGGTGAGGTCGAGGAGGGGTTTGACCTGGGCGATGCCGGCGTTGGCGATCCTGCAAACCGGCAATTAGCATGTTGCTCTTAGAATGATGAAATCAAGAACTTACATTGTGTTCAGGGGACCTAGCTCTTTCACTGCCGTCTGGACCATTCCCTGCACCTCACTGAGACTGCGGACGTCGGCGGATGCGACAACGGACTTGCGGCCCAGGCCCCGGATCTCGTTGGCCACTTCCTCGGAGCCGGCTTGGTTGGCGGCGATGTCATTGATGCAAACATCGTAGCCATCGCGGGCGATGCGGAGGGCGATGGCTTTACCGATGCCGCGCGAGGCACCTGTTACGATGGCGACGCGTCCGCTGGGGTGTATTAGTGACTGGAAGTCATTGAAGGGGGAGGGATGCGTACCCTAGACGAGCAGATGGTCTGAATGCTCCCACGAACGCGCTCATGGTGCTTGGTGTTTGGAGAAGAGAGTAAAGGTGTAAGGTACGCCTCGAAGCACTTCCGGCTATGCTGCTTGATGTATGCGGCTCCAGGAGAGATTTCCAACGGCCAAGGTTACGGTGCCACGACAGTTACACACACGATAAATGAGCTGATCTAACAGGACTTCAAACAGCACGAAACCCCGCCCAGTTGGTCCTTCTTGAGGTTATAAACTCAGGCGTGCGGGGGTTCATGGTGCCCCTCGAGCTTCCTCGGATTGCCCATGCGGGGAAGTGGCCGGGCAGCCGGATGAGGATCCTTGGTCGGGATCACGTTGGTTCAACTGAGGCGGGGCATTCTGTTACTGCTCATACGACACTCTTCAATCAACGTGGTCAGCGAAATCATCAGACGATACAAAATTTGCCTTGTTGGATGCTATGAACTGGTCTCTGGTCGTCATTTCTTATCTCAGAGCCGCAATGCATCATCGCGTGCTTCGTGAGTGGGATCAGCTCACTCGCGACCTGATACCCCGAATGTCCGAATAGCTCCAATTGCCGGAATAGGTTATCCGTGCAAGGGCTTCCGCGCATCAGTATTCGTCGTTACCGCCTCCCCATGACCGCTTCATTGCTACGGCGCGGTGGAACGGCGTAGCTCGCCCGCAGTCCGTAAGTAATCATCGATCTCTGAATCCTGTCATTGAGGAGCATCGCCTTGAGAGGCTGAATGGCGCGGTATTCAGCGCGGTAGATTCTAACCTTGCGGAAAAGGAATGGAATGCAGATCTCGCGGAGAGCCCTGCAAGTTTTGTGGGCCAAGACTCTCCGCGAGAACATCTACGCAGTCCACATATGAATGCCATTCCAGAAGTCCTCGTCAGTCACCTGTGACCTGAATCCACTCGCAAGTGGTGGTGGTGACAGCACGGCACACCTCGGCGCCGATTACCTCGGAAGAGTTAGCAAAGACACCCGCAAGCGTAATGAAGGCTGGAAACATACCGGTGAAGCCGTCATCGCCAATGATGGTGGTGAGAACTGGCGGAGCTAGATAAAGTCAGCCAAGGCCATGCAAGGCGATTGAAAGGAAACTTACGAATCTCGGTGTTGTCAGTCAGCTTGATGCGCTGCTGAGCAGCCTAATGAAGGCTAGGAATCTGTGTGAAGACCGGCGTCAGAAATGTGTAATACGAGGCCTGCAGTGTCGCGGACGGTTGGGCAGAATAAGACGTCGCTGGGATGGACGATTCGTCTTCCTTACCTTCTTTCCCATGGTGTTGTTTGAAGAGAAGTAAGCACACCTTTGCCTGCCCCAACGTGGGCCGGCCACACAGAAACATGAGGCGAAAGGGGTGACGCGGGCCCCAGTCCACTTCCAAGTCCGGTGTGCTGAAGAGCCTGTTTGAATATCATGTCAGCGCTGATGAATCCAGGGTCTGAAACAGAGGAAGACTCGGAAAGGGTAGCTATGGACGCGAGTGATGGATCGCGCGGAACGATTGAAACTTACGAATTCGTGAGACATGTCGCTTGAAGTGAAGAAAGACCCCCGCCGAACATTGTAACCCATGGTCTTGCCATCGGCAAGCTCGTTGCCATTGACCTTCTTCATTTTTTCTCCATTCTCCGAGGACTGTTGTTTGAAGTGAAGAAAGGCCCCGCCGAACACTGTAGCCCATGGTCTTGCCGTTGGCAAGACCGTTGTGATTGATCTTCTCCATTGTCACCACACGGCCAAGTCTCGGCTCGCCGTCATCAACCTTGAGTCGGTCGAGAGAATCGACGAGGCCATTGCCGTTGGAAGGGATGTCTTGGACTGGTGTCATGTTGTTTGAAATGAAGGAAGCTTGTTTGAGCCGGAGTCCACCGGGCCCGCCCGGGGACTCCTACGTCAATAAGCCATTCACCGGGCCCCGCAAATGTAGCTGAGGTGCCTGTGAAGTGACTTCTTGCGCGAAGTGCCTGTCTAGGTTTAGAATGTGAACAAACGAAAAGAAGAAGACAGAGCCAAACCTCCGGGATGGTAGTTCGCAGCGACAACTCGACAGAACAACTGTTGGAAAGAATCAGTTTCACTTTGCAAGACGCGCGTGCCGCCGCTGGCCAACGATGGCGCAGAGGGGGTGATCCTGACACTTACCTTGGCCTCCCAAGTGTCACAGTCGGTGTGACGAGGGGAAGAGCAACGGCACGGCTCATCAAGAACAGCATGAGCGTTCGTGCCGCCGCAGCGTGATGGTTAGGCCATGCATGATTCCTCCGACTCCTCGCATAGTATGTCAGTGATGAATTCTGAAGCTTGGAAAGTTGCAACTCACTGACTTTGTAATCACAACGATCATCCAACCGGGTGTGCATGTCTTTGACGTTGAGGCGGAGTTGGATTGCAGGCTCTGAGGCTCCGCAAGAGCCCCCCGCGAACGTCTGCTGCGAGAAGTCGTTGAGCTCATCATTGTCATGAGGACTCTTCTCAGTCACACTGATTTGAACGCCTAGATTCAAGGGAATCCAAGCCGCAGGAAGATGGGGACGTTGTCGATGCTTTAACAACAAAGCCGAAGGCTTTGACGATGTCTCCAATCGCAGCTCTGACAGCTGCGCTTCGCGATGTAATGCAGTGCCTGTCCGTTAGCCAGACCCTATGGGTAGTGTAGGTTGTTCATGCCATCGTCATCTTGAATGGGATACTCTAAGTATCCTGGGAGGCCGCCGTCTCCTGGAGAGCCATGGCGTCGTAATCTCCCATGCTCATGTCAGCATCCGGAGCCTTGTAGCATTACCTTGGATGGGCTCAGGGTTTGTCTCCACAGTTCCGGCGTCGAGAAGGCGGGAGTTCCCATGGACGGCAAAGTGTCCAGGGCAGCCGAGCTCATGCTGGATACTGGAGCATCCTGCCAAACACCGCCGGCACCCATGTCCGTAGACTCCGAGGTCGGCGAGATGACAACACTGTAGGCGCCGTTGGTGCGCTTGGGGACTTTCTGCCGGTCTCGATTCTCCTCAGATCTTGGACCCGAGTACCAGACGACGTCGCCATTGTATCAAATTGAGACAAGGTAAGGTACTCAGGCCCTGGGAGGGCAGCGCGCAGGACCGCCAACCGGCGGAAGCCAATGATGTCTTGAGTATTCGAACCCCCGTTGTGTGCTGTGCTGGGTGAAGCGAGTAGTTGATCCACCTTTCGACTTCGTCCTCGAGTGACTGTCTTGAAAGTCGAAGTGATCTCTGTCCATTTGATGGCATCTTCGGTAGCAGTGTGGAATCTTGAACCATGTGTTGGATTCGTCCACCGAACTCTTCTTCACATGAGTATTCGAACCCCCGTTGTGGCGTCTGTGACCACATGGCGGCTTCTTCCCTCGAACGCGTCTTCGTGACATGAGTATTCGAGTCCCCGTTGATGAGAAGTTGTGGAAGCCATTGGAAGAACATGGGAGCGCGAGGATGTTCGAGTTGTCAACGGGTGCGAAGCTGTTGGGGCTTCTCGGCGAATTGGAATAGACGGATGAAGGTGCTCTGGAGCGTGGAACGAGTCGAACCAACCAAGCTGCAGCCAAGAGGACATCTGGTATCAATCGCCAACAAGACAGCATGTATCATTCTGAGGGGAAACCTTGTGGAAGAAAGACTGAGCCTGTGATGTTTGCTGATAGCGTTGAGCTAATGGCACGAGCCAGCAGCCTTAAGTCAACTTCAAGTCAGCCGACTTCGGTGCATCTTGTCGAGGTTTTTGCAGAAGGTGTTTGCTGCTTGAGAAGAAGATTTGGACAGGATAGCGAGAGCATTTAGAGACGATGACAGAGCAAACAGAGCTCTTGGAGTGATGGAAGCTTCAGGCCCTCTGGTCCTCTTCGCCCGTGGCATCCGAATGGAATAGGTGATTCGAGCAATTTCAGGCAAGAACGGCAGACAGTACTCCGGGGTTCGGAACAGTTGGAAATGTCTAATCTGTGTTGCATGGGAATGTTAGTGAAGCACTCATCAAGCAGCTGCAATAGCAAAATTGTGCTCCCAGCCCAGGGGCCAGGGCTTGGCCATGTCACCAAACCGACAAAGGAAATAGCAAGTGTGAGGGATGAACAAACCAAACAAGAAGACAGCGGAGTGTCTTTGAACTGCCATGTCAAAGCAGTCTGGCCGAGAGTCAAGGTGCGTGCGACTCTTTTCTGGGATGCCCACGCGTGCTGAAGCTGATGGAACCGGGCCCGGTGCAAAGATCGGTATGATCCCACGAACCAGTCAGTGCCTTGTGCAATCGGGCCCTTCCGCAATAATTGCAGCGCAGATTTTTCCGTGCCAGATCCTGGTCTCGGGGCGTCCTGGAGAATGTCAGAATCATTCTTCACAAACCGAATGAACTGGGGATTGGCCAACCTGCAGCAGCCAGCGCTGCCAAGAAAATCAAGATTTTGGGAAGAAGGGCTGTCCATCCCCAAGGCGATGTGCCATACCAGCAAACCATTCTTTCCTACCGGCAGATCGAAGCAATGTAGGTTTGAGGTAGTAGAAAATGTGGGATTGCAGCTGTTAGATCTTCGGACCGGAGCTCGAAGTTGAGCTCAAGTTTTGAGAAGACCGGGCGATGGGCAGCTTGCGGGGTCTTGAGAAGTGTTGCAGTTGAGGGAGAAAATCAACAATGAAGGAAGACAGCAGTTCAATGAAAATAGTGAAGGCAAGCCAGTGCGAAGGAGCCGATGGGGAAGAGAGGGCAATGTACAGGTGGGTGATAGTGATAGTGATGGTGGTGGTGATGGAGGAGGACGATGGGAGACCTCGGGCTGGGGTGGTGAGAAGGTGGAATACCTGACGGAGGGAGGAGACGGAAAAGTTTTCGAGACCGCTCCCACTCTCAACTCTTGGGAAGGAACGAACAACAGAGAAATCTCTGCAGCGTGAGGCACGTGACTGGAGAAAGGGGGCGGCCAGACCAAAGCGGCCCAGATCCAAAAATCGAAAGAGCAAGACCACAAGCGAAGGCCACAAAACCAATCATTTTATTGCCCATTTTTCCCATTGCAAGACCACCTGCAGTCTCAAAGACCCAAAGACCCTGGACTGAAGAGGGTTGGTGCCAGGAGAGCAGCATCAGGCACTTGGCCTCTGGGGCGAAGCTGATGAGCATACCAGGCACCAAGTTGCAACACATGATTTTTCCGGACAAAGCCCTCGACTTCCTGGTGTAGCATGGGATTGTCTCAAGCACTTCAAGATGTTCAGACTCCTCGCCACTCCCGCAGCATCCAAACCACAGCATCCATATAGACAGCACTGTTGCTTGCCGGACTGTGTCCCCAAAAGCCCATCACGTCTCACACCTCTCCTCATACTGACCTTGATCTAGGTTTTAAACTGCGTATCTTTATAAACCTAGACTTGCTGGCATCGACTGGTCTGAGACGGCCTCCAAAGGATGGCCTTGTACCAGCCCCTTTCGTACCTTGCAGCTGGGGGCCTTGTTCACGACATCACAGAATGGCATCATCTTTCACAGGACAAGTAAATTCCAGATACCTTGGTCTTCTGCCTCCCATTAAGGACTGGCTGGCAATGGCAGGCGAGGTAAGCTGTCGCGTCTCCAGAGAGTACTCTAGGTAGCCAGGGGGCAGGCATGGTCTTGTTCCACAATCAAAGCCATCACAACAAAACAACGCATCACCAATAGAAGCAAGAAAGACACAAATTTGCAGAGAAAAGGACGTCTTTTCTCTACTCATCAGAAGTCTATGCGCTTTTCAGCCAATGTAGAAAGCCCGGTCTTTGAAAGCCAGGCTCTAAGGGTATCTTCCTTCCTTCCCAAACTCCATGCTACGACATGCCCGAAATTCCGAAGAAAGCCAATCTCAAAGTACATCCCCCAATTCCAATCTCAATCCCTACAAGAAAGAAGTGAATCCGCCCAAAAAAAAACCAAGATGTGAAGTCGTGACATTTAGGCAGGGACGCGGGTGCCGATCTGGGTGCCACACCACATGGCGCCACCCTGGTTGCGGATGCCCTCGTCTGCGAAGAAGAAAAGTCAGCACAAATTCGTGAAATCAAGCGCGAGGAGGGTGGGAGAAGACATACTGAGAGCAATGGTGGTGCCAATGGTGCCCTTGGCGCCGACAGCGCAGGTGCAGGCCATCTTGACATCGTCAGTGGCGGAGAGGAGCTTGCAGTCGTAGCAAGAGTCGTCAAAGTGGCCACTGCAGAAGAACCAAAGTCAGTGATGTTGCAAAAAGCGAGAAGGGGATGGAGTGTCCTCACAGGTTGGCCCACTTGAGGTGGCCAAAGTCATTCATGAGGCAGCGGTTGAGCTGCAGCTCGGTCTTGAAGTTCTGGTCCATCCAGTCGGGGCAGATGGCGCGAACCGAGTAGACAGGCTTGCCGTTGACGATGCGGTTGGTGAGCATGATGTCGCGGCAGACCTTGGCGAAGCCGCCATCGAAGGCGCCGAGGACCTCGATGTTGCCGCCCTGGGGGTTGGAGAGATCCATGACCTCAACGTTACCGCCCTTGGGCTGGGAGACGTCAAGGAGCTCGATGTTACCACCCTGGGGCTTGGAGAGATCCATGACTTCGACATTGCCGCCCTTGGGCTTGGAGACATCCATGACTTCGACATTGCCGCCCTTGGGCTTGGACACGTCCATGACCTCAACGTTACCACCCTGAGGCTTGGAGAGATCCATGACTTCAACGTTTCCGCCCTGGGGCTTGGAGACATCGAGTAGCTCAATGTTGCCGCCGGGGAAGGGGGCAGCGGAGGTGGATGTGGCCGCGAAGGCGAGGATGAGGGAGGCGATGGTGGAGGTGAACTTCATCTTGACGGTGACGAAGAGGTGATGGAGGAGTGAGAAAGGTAGAGGAGGAAGAGAGAGGTGGGAGATGGAAGGTAGAGGTGGTTGTGATGGTTGCGAAGCAATTTTGTGATGTGTGGTTGTGGGGAGGAAGAAGTTGGGAGGGAAGAAGAGAGAGTGAGGGTTTTTAAAAAGATCAGACTGAGGGTGGCCGTCTGGCCGATTGGGGGCGCCGAGATCAGATCGAGCAGAGGTGAAGTTGCGATTTCCTGTTTGGTCGTTGTCAGGGCAGTCAGTCACGTGTGCCGACCGCCTCAGGAGGTGGTGAATGCGAAGGTGAGGTGGTGGTGATACCGATTCGGCCAATCAGGGGCAAGCTTGGAGGTTGGCCCTGAGTACGTACATCGAGCTGGTCTTCTTGTTTACTGGGGCAGCCACTGGAAAATCAGGATCAAGCTGGATTTTTTTGATCCCACAGCTATCTTTTACCGCTTTGAGACAACCGGACTTGGAGCTCTCACTTGCCTCCCGGCCTTGAGCCGACTCCTTGGACGAAGAAGCGCGTAGGCGGTGGGTGGTGATGGGATCAGTCTTGTCTTGCTGCCGTTCTCGTTGGAAGTACGTACCGACCCGAGGTCGAGACGGGATACTTGTAGAAGTACTGATGCCGACTACCAGGGCAGCTGCGGTCTTTGAGCCAATAAAGGTACTGTTGCAGAACATTGAAGGCTCAAGACAGCCGCTTAAACGCTGAAAACCCCATGTCGGCCAATGTTGAAGTCAAACATGATAACCTCCTGGCTGCTGGCGGCACTGAAAGGCGGCATCATTACTCCGAAAGGGGTGCTTGTTGGAACTGAATCAACTGGGCCTGCGGCGTGAGATTCTCGGGGAAGGTCTATGATACCTTCTTTCCTTCAACCAGCATCTGAAATCTCTGGCAAGCCGGCAAAGGTGCGACCTCCCATGCCGCAGACAACCTTTCCATGACCCAACGTACGCGATCTCGGGGGTCTTCGACGACTGGAACATTGCGAAGTAGCTTGTTGCCAAGCACTTTGACAGTCTGGCTTACCGAAGGCCTACCTAGACGGACCTTTTGCTATCATCTTCTCCTCGATATTGACACCGTAGATCATGACCAGCCAACTTCTTCGCACTCCACTGGTCGCTTAGTTTGCAGGATCTAAACCCTGTCCTCTTGGTCACGCCTGATTGGAAGCGCCTAAGAAAAGATTGAGACTAATGCATGACCTGCATATCCGTCAACGTAGGATCCGGCCCGCCAAAGGGGAGCATGCCGAAGCTGGCTGCTGATGTTTGCTCCAGTCTTGATTGGTGGGCGACTTCGCGAACCCCTGGCCGCATATCTATCGCTCAGTATCTGCAGCAATGCGGGGAGCGTACTCATGGATATTTAAAGAGGGCGAGGGCGCCATATCCTACCTACGCTGCGCCCAGCGAAAGCTTTCCCTTCTGATCGTCATTGTTCAAGATGGGTCTCCTTAGCACGGTTTCCAGCTGGGCGACCCTGCCAGTTCTTGGCGGAGTGATCTGCCTCTGTTTCATCATCGACCGACTCGTCGTGTACTTCAAGTTCAGGCACATCCCGGGGCCATGGTGGACAGGTCTCAGTAGCTCTCCTCATAGCAAACACATTATGGGCCCAAGAGTTCATGAGTGGTATGCTGAGCTGAGCGAGAAATACGGTTCGCTGGAGTCCATGGCCATCATCTCGATATCTACTTATTAACCGGCGCCAGGCCCAATCGTCCGCGTCGCCCCAGGCATCGTCGTAACATCCTCTCCCGACCTCTGGACACACGTCAACAAGAACCCAGCCTACAAGCGCACCGACTGGTACTACCACGCATGCCGCGTAGAATACCGTCGCGACAATGTCTTCACGCAGACAGACAACGCGAAGCACGATGCTCGCAGGAAGCAAATGGCCCCAGGCGTACATCCCTTCCACCTACTCCCCTCTTAGCTTCAACCACTGACGAAGCGCAGTACTCCGGCCGCGAGAATCTCGACCTTGAACCCACAATTGACGCCCGCCTAAACGACCTGCTCACCCTCATCCGCACAAAGTACCTCTCCACCGAGTCCCGCATCATCCCCATGGACCTCGCCAAGAAAGTGCAGTACTTCACCCTCGACGTCATCTCCGACGTCGGCCTGGGCAAGACCTTCGGCATGCTCACCGCCGACGCCGACGTCGACGGCTACCTCCAGTCCGCCGAGCAGGGCCTCACCGCCGCCAGCTTCGCCCTCGCCTTCGGGCTCAGCTGGCTCGCGCAAGCCCCCGTGATCGGGCGCTTCCTCGCGCCCTCGCCGACAGACGATAACGGCTTCGGGCGGATGATCGCGGCGTGCTACCGCGACGTGGACGCGCGCGCGGCGCGCGAGACGGACAAGAAGTCGGACATGCTGGCGTCCTTCATCCGGCACGGGTTGAGCGGGGACGAGCTGCGGAGCGAGGCGTTGGAGCAGATTATTGCCGGGTCGGATACGACGGCGGCGGCGATTCGCGGGACGTTGTTGTTGATTATGACGAATGCGAGGGTGTATGCGAAGCTGCAGCGGGAGATTGACGATGCGGTAAGGGACGGGATTGCGCCGGCGAAGGGGGAGGGGCTGGTTTCGTTGGAGCAGACGAGGCGGTTGCCGTATCTGCAGGCTGTGATTCGAGAGGCGCTGAGGGTGAAGACACCGGTGGTGAATATCTTCGGGAGAGACGTGCCGGCTGGGGGCGATACGGTCAATGTTGGCGGGGAGAGCGTGTATCTGCCGGGAGGGGCGTGTGTCGGGTACTCTGCGTATGCGATGCACCACAGCAAGGAGACGTACGGGGAGGACGCAAAGACGTTCCGGCCGGAGAGGTGGTTTGAGGAGGATGACGAAAAGCTGGCTACTATGAAGAGCGTCAACGATCTGGTGTTTGGGTACGGGAAGTTCATGTGCCTGGGCAAACCTGTGGCGCAGATTGAGCTTGCGAAGACGATATTCGAGGTGAGTCTACGCAAAAGAGTTGGCAGGCGGTTGACTGACTTCGCGACACAGGTATTCCGCAACTTTGAGCTGGCCCCAATGGATCCGGCGCGTCCTTGGAAGGCGTACAATGCGATGGGCCTGTTCTTCATCAGCGATATGTGGGTTCAGGTGATGGAAAGGAAGTAGGGACAGAGGGCCGCGCTGGATTAGGAGACATGCGAGCAGTCAAGTCGAAGCTTTTCTTTACTCGTTTCGTTCGAGGACATGGTATGAAAGAAATTTGATGTGATTGGAATATTGCTTCGGCCCAGAAACCATCCATCCATCCTGCCTCTGTCACGAGTCCTCCCTTCCGCAGCCAAATCTCTCTGTTCCTTTTTCCTTCCTTCCAGCTTCCTTATACTTTAGTTCATCAAACAATCGCCTGTAGACACAATTATCTCCGGCAGAGTCATACGGCAGTCAACAAGTCTCTCTCTTTCCTTGCCGCTGTATGCTCATTCCTTGAACAAGTCGCTCAAACCACAGGATATGTTGAGGAAGTTTCACAGCCCACTTGGTAAGAGGACATATTGTAGAAGAAACACAGGTGTCTTCGCTTTTCAGGCCTGGCCTATCCATCGGAATTGGCCTTGGTACGAGCGAACCCAATTGAGCTCGATGACGTATTCGACATGTCGCAAACGAGGTCCTGGGAAAAGTTTAGTCAGTCAGGCTAACCACCATCGAGCAAAAGTTGTCTAGAACTTACCAAACACCGTGATCTTGATTCGAAGGGTCGCAGAACTAGTGAGTGGGCGAGATCGAGGTCGCCGTGTGGAAATAATAATCAAGTGTTGACACAAGACCCCGGAGAGATCAATTTCTGTACCATCATTGGCAATGAGACGTTTTCAGAAGCCTTCCCTGCAACTGGTTAGCAACGCAACGTCACAATCAACAGGCAAAAAGAATGCTTACCAAACACAATGATCTTGCAATAGCGGATAGCCCTTTGCGGTAAGGGGAGGATTGGAAGAACAGTGGCGCGCCAGAAACAATGGAGGCAAAGGAGTTGCGAATTCCGAACTTGCAATAAGCTGTGATCAGGATCGCGGACCAAATCTTTTGATGCCCCAGGTTGGAGGTTATGGATGTATTGGAAGATGCAAAGTCCCTTCCACGTCTCGTCGTCGTCAAAGGAGGTCTCCTCGAGAATAATGTGTGAGGCCATGAGATCCCAGAGCTGCAGACCCAGTCGGGCTCTGAAGACATGGGAAAGGAGCTCGAATCGGCGAAAACCGCCGCCGGAAAAGACTCGTTCTGGCAGTTGGGCCCCCCCGCCGCAATGAATCATGAATAGCTCGTGTCGTCTTGCTTTAGGGGGGATCCCAACCGCCGCAATATTGGCAGCCAGAACAATACTTTGAACTTTTCAAAGTTCACATTTTCCTGTTCAGTCGCAAGAGTCAGCGTCTGCGACTGTGCTGTTGAGCGAAGGGGGGCACTGACCAAAGGCAAGTTTGGAAGAGGCCCGGCGGCCGGGATGCTTCGGTGAGCAACGAGTCACCGACCGCCGGCCATCAAATTTAGCCATCAAATTTGAACTAAAAATTTGAACAACAGTTCAAAATGCTTGGGGGGTGAAGGGGGTCAGTATGTTCCACTGCGGCGGAAGTCGGTTGCAGAGAAACTCACAACCAAAGCATTGAAATAGGTCCGGCGGCCGGGATGCTATCAAGAGCACGGAATCTCCGACCGCCGGCCTTAAAATTGACAAAAGGCCTGTCTCAATAATTCGAACTGCCGATGAAGTCAAGTCAGCATCTCTCGTCTCGCGAGGTTGAGGGAAGTTCGCACTTACAAGCCGAATAATTGAAACTGGCCCCCGGTCGGGGCGCCAGTAAAGCATGTAATACAGCAGCGTATGCAAAGAGCAGTACATACGACCATACCCATTGGAAAACTCGGGATCCCGTCCGCTCTCCCGTAGGCAATCTCGAAAGACGGCAGAACCGGCCATCAAATTTGGACATCAAATTTGAACCAAAAGTTTGAGCAAGGGCTCAAATTGCTCCAAACAACCGAAAGAAGTTTCCGAATCTCGACGGCGGCCGGCCTCCTGTGTAGTCTGAACAGAGAGAGAGCGGCCACCGCCGTAAATTGGCGTGAGCATGTCTGAGCCGGCCGGTGGCCCCGGAACGTAATCTTGGAACCAGCCCAAGCCGTTCCCCGTAAAGCCTGTAGGGGAAGCACTGGAAGAGCCTTCCAAAGAGGCGAACGGTAAACAACCCAAAGGCTGACCGCAAATTGTTTGGTGAGCAGTTGGAAAAGGCCGGGAGGCCCGGGCCGGAGATTGGAAGGGGGAGTTGTTCGCCCGGGCCCCGGCAGTAGAGCGCGGTTTTCGGAGACGGTGCTCCTTCATTCAAACTGCGAAAGACGAAGTTAGTCATTGTTCAAGACACAAGGGAGCAGCATTTTTGCATAGTTTCGAGTTGCCAGAGAAAAATTGCGACACAAGGACAAGATCCAGAGGAAAGGAACACTCGAGACTTTAGATGACACAACAGCCAAGAGATAAACAAATCTCCGAAGCAAAGCAAAGAACTGGATGCGAGACATACCTTGTTGAAGTCAAAAGACTCCATGAACGTCACAATGACCTCCATTTTCATTGACGAGGCCTGGGGGAGGACCTTTGATGAGCCTTCGTCAGGCCGGCCCTCCCCGGCCATTCAAACGGCCGTCCCAGAAAGAGCCAAAGCACCATTGTGATGCAGAACTTCTGGCATTGTCTTCGGAAGAGGAAGCTAAAAGCCCAGAGATTTTTGATTACCGCCTCATCGCCGTGAAATAAGGCATTCGAGAGCCTGAGCAATTTCAAAAGTCAGCAAAGGATCACACTGACTCGAAAGAGAGGTATGGGCTGAGAAACGAAGCAAAAGTAAGTCGACGGGCCTGGCACTTGCCAGAAGCCCAGAATGTCGCCGACGGAGCAAAAGCCCGAGTAGCAATCTTCATTTGAACTGCCTTGTAGCAGAGCATTGTAATGGTGTTGCGAATGCTGAGGCTGGTGAAACTTACCCCGAGACTGAGCGCACTGCACTTCTTCGCGGTGTTTGGGCCACAGCAGATGTTTCATACGTCCCAGAAGAAAGCCCTTACAGGAAATTAAATCGGGGGATGATCATGACAAAGCCTGGCCGAAAATGCTCTTCTCGTGCTTCGAGGCAGTACTGGGAGGTTTCACAGATATGGTGGTCTGACTTGGCTGGAGTGTGAAGGGAGCGGAAGAGGCAGGAAATTTTGGTTTGTTTTGTGCCAGGGGAGGACAACGGGCTCCACGTGATCAGACGGCCTTCGACCGCCTCGTCTCGCTCTGAACTTCTAGATCGAAGGCGCTAGACCAGCCAAAAGAAAAAGAGCAGCGGGGAAGGATCGGTGCTAGGCACGTGACGACCGGTGAAAGTTTGCAATGACTGGAACAGAGGAAGCAAGGGAAGTTGGGCTTGGATGGTCGAAACTGTGAAGGGATTTTGGCCACTGGGACAACCCATCTTGACGGCAGGAGCGAGGGAAGGAATCAAAGAAGCAAAGCCAGCTAGCAAGACTGCTGGTCAAGTTTTGGAGGGGGGGGGGTGTGGGGGCGGACAGCTGAGAAGAACATAGGAAATAACAAATAACAAATACTCACAGCGTTAGAACAATAATTCAAAAGACTTGAACATTGCTTTCCTTCCAGGCTTCAAGGCAAAAGATGTGATGGAAGAAGGACGCCAAAGTGGTCTACCACTAAGGGGTGAAGACCCATTGTTGTTGTTGTGATAAGATGTGAAAGTGAAAGTTGTTAAATTGTAGTGGAGGAGAGAAAGAGTTAGGAGATCTGGGGTGGAGGGTGGGGATTTTTATCCTCCGAGACAGTGACGGATTTTCGAGACGACGACGGACGAAGACGCACAGCCTGAGGCAGGTGCACCAGAGAAGCAAGAGAAGGAGCAAGGGCTGGATGCACTAGGGACACGATTTTCAGCACACTTACTATCAAAAGAACAAACCATTTCAACTCAAGGGGCTTTTTATTGATTTAAGTGGCAACTAGAAGAGCGGCATTAATTATTCAGAGAACGTGGTATCAGCAAGCCTCTGGTACCCCTACTCAAAGGCATCCAACTGATGGATCGCCCTTGCCATGAGATTTTCCAGACAGTTCCTTCCGCAATAGGTCTACGGACGCACGGGGTAAATTTGGAGATCATGAGGCCATTCCCAACTCAACCCATGGCTGTACACAGACAGGAAAGCCAGGCACAACGTTGTTCACCTATCGGAGGAAGGAACCATGCAACTTCACCTAGCACCAAGTTGCGCTCATACCGCAGGCTGAGAAATGAGAATAGAAAGACATGGCAATTACGATGGGCAGCTTGTGACTAGCGAACAGCTGCTCAGGCAGCTTCCAGATGGCCTCAGCATCTCCTCCGTCTGGACTGATCTAAAAACGAATCCGCGACAAATCAGATCGGGAGGTCCTTAGCTTCATGAAACGGCTCGATCTAAGAATCATCCGTACTATACTTGGCGAGTGGCAGGGACAGATCAATGCCCTGAATTCCTCCGTGAGCCTTTGGGTGACCTCACCTCACGTGGAAGGCACCTACTTATGGCAGTTGCCTCGCCCCTTCCGCCACGAGGTTTCCGGTCGTAGATCGAGTAAGTTTGGTTCAGTGGTTTAAGGCTGGCCCCCTTTACTGCCCAGGTCACGCGACACTCTCGCAGGCCCTTTTTGTAGTTCGGATGTTCAAACCACCCTGATGTCCACGGCCTCTGTTTTGGTTTTTCCTCCTGAGGTATGCTAAGGTAAGGAATTGGTATTTGCTGTCAACAAGCCATCAGAGCCCTGTGTCAAGGGGAAGGAAGAAAATGGACATTCATTAATGTAGTCGTCGTCTTTTCCTTATTTTTGCGATCACAGAGTATACAGGCCAAAGAACAGAGCGAGATTCATACCTCTCGCAGCGCGGTGTTCCAAAATTTGCCAACAAGTTTATGTTCTTCAAATGCCATGTCCATATTGTGAGTTCAATTCTGGTGCAGAGCGAGGTGATGCCGACTAAATCGCTCAACCCAGCAAAACCGAACTCCGTTCCATTCCCAAATCTTTTACAACTTCATGCCATGACACTCCCGGTGTGAGTCTGATATACCCC